ATCTAATTTCATCAGAATTTTAGCGTTGTGTGTGTAGATCAGCACTGAGCAGGAATAAATGAGCTTCTCTCAAAATGAAGTGATTTCACAATACAATAAAATCATACAAAAACAATTGTGAATGTCAGAATACAGTGGTACCTTGGGTTACATACGCTTCAGGTTACATACACTTCAGGTTACAGACTCTTCTAACCCAGAAATAGTGCTTCAGGTTAAGAACTTTGCTTCAGGATAAGAACAGAAATCGGGCTCTGGCGGCACGGCGGCAGCAGGAGGCCCCATTAGCTAAAGTGGTGCTTCAGGTTAAGAACAGTTTCAGGTTAAGAATGGACCTCCGGAACAAATTAGGTACTTAACCTGAGGTACCACTGCAGTTAAAATGGTTGCTTTTTTTTTAATGATTTACAGAGACCAACTGGGATAAAACATCTCCAACTAGAATGCTTGCTGGGACGCGGGTGGCGCTGTGGGTTAAACCACAGAGCCTAGGACTTGCCAATCAGAAGGTTGGCGGCTCGAATCCCCATGACGGGGTGAGCTCCCATTGCTCGGTCCCTGCTCCTGCCAACCTAGCAGTTCGAAAGCACGTCAAAGCGCAAGTAGATAAATAGGTACCGCTCTGGTGGGAAGGTAAACGGCGTTTCTGTGTGCTGTCCTGGTTCGCCAGAAGCGGCTTAGTCATGCTGGCCACATGACCCGGAAAAACAGTCTGCGGACAAACGCCGGCTTCCTCGGCCAATAAAGCGAGATGAGCGCCGCAACCCCAGAGTCGGTCACGACTGGACCTAATGGTCAGGGGTCCCTTTACCTTTAGAATGCTTGCTGAAAGTGGAGAGTTTTAAGACAACAGAGGTTTTGCCTCTCTGAAATGTAATGGGAGGGCATTTTAAAACGTAGGTGCCACCATAATAGATGCCCCATTTTGACACTGCATGGAATGGATGTTCTAAGATGGTATCTGCAGAATGCCTTTTCCTGCACAGCACTGTGATTGGTTGGCTGTAAAAGGAACCAGACACACTTCTAGGTATCCTGGTCCCAAGCTGTTTAGGGCTTTGTTGAACTTATCCCAGTTGAACTTAACCGGCCTGTTGAACTTATCCCCGTTGCTATTGGACTATTATTTTCCAGAACTGAGCTCTGCATTGACCTTGAGTAAGTATCAACTAAGGGACTGGCTCTTCTGGATAGAATCCAGAAGGGATCTACAACTAATTAGAAACACCAAATTTTCCCCCTGGTATCCACTGAGAACAGAGCATTTTAGTACTAGTTATCTTAGCAAACTCTTGCTAGTGTCCTTCAGAAGTGCCTTTATTGAGCTACATTTCCAAGTAATGCCCACTGCAGTCTTGGATGGCCGCTACAACAAGGTCCCATATGCAGACAGACTATGTATTTGTGGTCAACCTCAGGTGGAAGACTCACTCATTATCTGTTAGCTTGCCCCAAGGGATCGTTTTCTGTTCGTGCAAATGGCACACAAATGGTTTGGTTTGAGGGACAATAACAACTTCATAATGCACAAAGTAAGGGACGCGGGTGGCGCTGTAGGTTAAACCACAGAGCCTAGGACTTGCCAGTCAGAAGGTCGGCGGTTCGAATCCCCGCGACGGGGTGAGCTCCCATTGTTCGGTCCCAGCTCCTGCCAACCTAGCAGTTTGAAAGCACAAGTGGCCCTCTATGCCAGGGGTAGGCAACCTAAGGCGCAGGGGGCCGGATGCGGCCCAATCGCCTTCTTAATCCGGCCTGTGGACGGTCCGGGAATAAGCGTGTTTTTACATGAGTAGAATGTGTTTTTTTATTTAAAATGCATCTCTGAGTTATTTGTGGGGCATAGGAATTCGTTCACCCCCCCCCATATAGTCTGGCCTCCCACACGGTCTGGGGGATGGTGGACCGGCCCACAGCTGGAAAAGGTTGCTGCCCCTGCTTTATGAACTAGCTAAAAAATAAATCAATCAGAAAAAAGGAGTTGGATAAAATCACTAACAATTGTTTTTGGTGATTCAGAGGCTTAATCTGAAAGCAAGCTAGATTTAAGCTTGTTGGTCTCTCTGGTATCTTCTCTCTCTTACTTCATGGATGTCGGCTTCTGAGTAGAGATGCATGTTCTGCATTATTTCAGTAATACTATTGCTACAGGTTTGTCATGGCCTTAGGCTAGAATGCTGAAATTATGAACTAACAATAGCTAACTGGCAGCCAGTGCAATTCTTTCAACAGTGGCCTTTGAGCTGCTGAATTCTGCACTAGCTGTAGGTTCAAGCTCAAGCTCAAGGAGTGGGAAAGATGCTGCCAGTATGGAAACAGACCAATGGTCTGACTCTGTATAAGATAGTTCTATGTTCCACAGGGGTGGAAGTTGCAAGGTGTTTGACAAGCAACAGGGCAGCCCTCTCTGCCTAACTGGATGCATCAGCTTTCACCATGTTGCGGCGTTCTGGGATACTTCTCTGTCACTCCTTCCTACTGAAGGACAACTAAAAATGAGCCGCAGAAGCTGGTAAGCAGAATGAGCTCAGATTTGTGGGAGATGTTGAGAACAAGAGGAACATCAAGGAAACGGTAGGTCTGCAGAGTGGAAAAGACGGAGGAATGTTAGCAAATGATGACGAGGAGGCAGAAGGACCATGACATAGGTGGTGTTTCCGTCTCGAGGGTAGGAATGGCAAAATAAGAGATTTAGACTAAATGTTAGGGAGAAGGTCTTGCCGGTATGAGCTGTTTAACATTGGAAAGAGGTTTATAAGCAGAGGCTGGAAAGGCACCTATCAAGGATGGTGTAGCAGCAGGATTTCAGCATCAGCAGGGGACTGGGTTAGAGTTTTCTTCCAACTCTATGATGCTATCCAGCAAGTCAATGCTGAAGGCAATACAACCCTATCAGAAAAGATGTTTTTTCTATATGCAGTAACAGCAGCAAGAATACTATTGGCCCAAAAATGGAGGCAAGAAGAATTACCAACAATGGAAGAATGGAGGATGAAATTAATGGACTATGCGGAACTTGACAAACTAACGGGGAGGATCCGAAACTGGTGGGACCAGAAATTTACTGGAGTAAATTTACGGATTATTTGAAAAGTATTTGTGATAACCAGACGACGTTTGTAGGTTTGCAAGAAGTTCTGTGAGGAATAATATTAGAAATATTGTAAAAATGGAGAAGAGATATGTTAAGAGATGTAAAGGCAATATTAAGTTAGGAAATGCATAAGAAGTGATTAAGACGGAGGATTATCAGAGGTGCTGAGGGAAGTCCAATAAGAATGTATTTGTGATAAATTGTGTGGTATGTTTTATAATTTTGTATGTTAAAAACCAATAAAAATATTTATAAAAAAGGAAAAGGAGGAAGATACCCAACCTTCATGTTTCTTTAATTGTACTTGGTTCTTGCACAACCACAAAAGTTAGCATCTGGAACTTCTTTCCAGTCCATGCTGCCTTTTTTTAATGAGGTGAAATTATACTAACTAGGCAGGCTGGGAACCGTATACCTGAGTGAGATTTATCAGCTGCTAGATGAAACTAAAGAATTCAGGAAGGGAAACTTTGCTGTCGAGAGATAAAAGACACTCCAAGCTGAGCTCACACACTTGGCTCTTAATTTTCTGGCTCCCAACGCAAATAAGAGGAACATCATTTTCCTTGCCTAACAGAAGAAAAAACAACAGTACTGATTCACGTGGTGTTTAGAAAACTCTTCCTGCTGGCTAAAATCAAGACAGGTATCTTTCCATGACGACCTTCATACAGTAAACCACATATATAAAATCTAGCACTGATGCCAACTAGACTATATGTAGAGAGAAAGTGCAGTTGCCATGTTAGTCTTGTGGCACCTTTAAAGGCTGACACATTTTATTAGTTTCCTAAACAGCGGGTGGCGCTGTGGGTTAAACCACAGAGCCTAGGACTTGCCAATCAGGAGGTTGGTGGTTTGAATCCCCGCGATGAGGTCGATGGTTCGATACCCCGCGATGGGGTGAGCTCCCGTTGCTCGGTCCCTGCTCCTGCCAACCTAGCAGTTCAAAAGCACGTCAAAGTGCAAGTAGATAAATAGGTACCGCTCCAGCGGGAAGGTAAACGGCATTTCTGTGCGCTGCTCTGGTTTGCCAGAAGCGGCTTAGTCATGCTGGCCACATGAGCCGGAAGCTGTACGCCGGCTCCTTCGGCCAATAAAGCGAGATGAGCGCCACAACCCCAGAGTCGGTCACGACTGGACCTAATGGTCAGGGGTCCCTTTACCTTTACCTTAAAATGTATTGGGTTAAAAAGAAACAACACTCAAAGTGGCATACCAAAAAAGAAGATAAAACCGTAGAATCCAGAAGAAAAACATACAGCCCAACTTTAGTTAAAATTCTAAAGCAGGTTAGAAGTCACCTCAGCTTTCCAAGCACCTGGGTACTTATTTATATCTGTAGACCGCCCTTCACTCAAAAATCACAATGCGGTTCACAAAAAAAACAAACCCAGAAGGATGACACAAAATGCGCGCATATATATATAATATATAATATAATATATATATATGTTATTTATAATATATATATTATTTATAATATTATATATATATATATATATATATATATATATATAATACATATATATATATAATATATATATAGTATGTATATAGTGTATATAGTATATATACTATATATACATATAGTATACATATATACATATATATATATGTATATATAATAATTATATATAATATAATAATATATATAATTATTATTTTAAAAAAAATCAAAGAAAACTAGTTAAGGCCTCCCCAAAATTGCACGGCGATGGGGCCTGCAGGGAGTTCCAAATCGAAAAGCCCCTGCCATAATAGCCACAACCAAGAAGCACCGCCACCGGAGGAGACGCCCGCGCGGCCCGGATGACACCTTCGCCGTCCCGGGCAGCTGGGCGGTCGAACCGGAAGCAGGGGGCGGAGCCAGGAGCCCGCCCCGCCCTCCCTCCCTCCGTCCGTCAGCCCGCGCGCGCCTGCGCAAACCCACCCCCGCCGCCCGTGCGCTTTGACAACCTTTGGAGCGGAGCTGGCCAGGCCCGCGCGGTTGTTCCGTGAGGGGGCAGGTGAGGAGGAGGAGGAGGAGGAGGAGGAGGGCGCCTTCCCAGGGCCTCCGCATCCCCGGGGTGGGGGAGTGGGGCTCGGGGGGCCTGGCGCGGCTCCGGGTGGGTTGGAGTGGGATGGCGGCCGAGCTCGGAGGCGCTGAGGGAAGGCCCTCGTCGCCACAGCGTCTGAGGCGCGGGGCGGTTGGGAAGAAATTGGGCCCACGGCTAGGGGTGGGGGGACGGGACGCGGTTGGAAGAGTCCCTAAACCGGCCCCCTCCACCGCTGCTCATCTCCCCATCTCCTTTCTCTCTCTCTTTTTTAAAATGATATTTATTAAAGTTTCAAAAAAAGGTTACATAGATAAGAAAAAGAAAAATAGAGAAAAGAAAAATACAAAATACAAAAAAAAACCCCAATTAAAAACAATTCCATCTTTTCATCACTTATCTTTCATTTACTTGTTTCCCGGACCTCCTCATGCCTCCCTTTTTTGTATTCCAGTTCAATTTATTAGTTCAGCATTTCCTTTCCCTCCTCCCCATCTCCTTTCTCTTCCCCTCCTCTACCTCTATCCCTCCCTTCTCCTCTTCCCCCACCCTTCTCCTTAACCCCACTTGTCCTCTCCCCTCCCACTCGCCCTAATAATATTGATGTTAATAATAATGAATGAATGAATTTATTAATACGGTCACAGACCAGCGTCAACACACACAATATCACAGATCATAAAAAAAATATCAGAAATACAGAGGACAATATGAGTATAACAAGGATTTAAATATAAAAAATTAAAATTAATTATTAGCGTGCCCCCTGTAATTAACATTTGGGGGTTTGGTCATTATGGGATACCACTTGCTTCAATGTTAATAATAATAATTTTATTGTTTACACCCCAGCCACTCTGGTCTGCTCGCCACCAGTGCCAGATTTACATACAGTGGTACCTCTAGATACAACCGGGATCCATTCCGGAGCCCTGTTCGCATCTAGAAGCAAATGTAACTAGTGATGGCACGTCTGCGCATGCGCGCGTTGCTCTTCGCCGCTTCTGCACATGTGCGTGACGTCATTTTGAGCGTCTGTGCATGCGCAAGCGACGAAACCCGGAAGGAATGTGCTCCGTTACTTCCAGGTTGCCGTGGAGCGCAACTCGGAACGCGCTCAACTTGAAGCGTATTCAACCCAAGGTATGACTGTATAAGCTAAACAAGCTATAAGGGACGCGGGTGGTGCTGTGGGTTAAACCACAGAGCCTAGGACTTGCCGATCGGAAGGTCGGCTGTTCGAATCCCCACGACGGGGTGAGCTCCCGTTTCTCAGTCCCTGCTCCTGCCAACCTAGCAGTTCGAAAGCACGTCAAAGTGCAAGTAGATAAATAGGTACCACTCTGGCGGGAAGGTAAACAGCGTTTCCGTGCACTGCTCTGGTTCACCAAAAGCGGCTTAGTCATGCTGGCCACATGACCCGGAAGCTGTACGCCGGCTCCCTCGGCCAATAAAGCGAGATGAGCGCCGCAACCCCAGAGTCGGTCACGACTGGACCTAATGGTCATAGAATCATAGAATCATAGAGTTGGAAGAGACCACAAGGGCCATCGAGTTCAACCCCCTGCCAAGCAGGAAACACCATTAGAGCACTCCTGACATACGGTTGTCAAGCCTCTGCTTAAAGACCTCCAAAGAAGGAGTCTCCACCACACTCCTTGGCAGCAAATTCCACTGTCGAACAGCTCTTACTGTGGTCAGGGGTCCCTTTACCTTTACTTAAAACAAGCTATACCTTAGGGCCCCACTCTCTTGGGGAGGCCCAAAAAATTTAAAGGGAAAAAAACCTGGATGTACATTTCCAAAATATAAGATAAAAAATAAATAAAATAAAACCTACATACAGCAACAGTGGCAAATGGCTTTAGATACCTATGGGGTCCATCAGTTATCATATAGCATATATTCAACACAAAAAACAGTGACAGTTTGTTGTTGACAAAGGACAGCTGGACATATAAAGGCCCACCATTACCTTCAGTGGCTTAGGGCCGCATCAAACCTAAAACTGGCCCTGCTCACAGCATATATCAGAACACACTAAAGCATTATAAACAACAACACAACTTCCTGATACAGGGCTTCCCTTCTGCACTTCCTCCTCCCCCATCCCTCTCCTCTCCCACTTCATGCCTCTTCTCACCTAAGGCTGGGTGATGTCGGCTTTTCAACAGCAGCCCAACATCACATACATGGCAATGTTGGAAAGCAGAGGGAGGGACAAGCTCTGTCAGGCCTGGCCCTGTGTTGATGCAGCTTGTTCCTCCAGGCGCTGGCAGAGGATGGAGTCATGCGCATGCAAGCAGCACCTGGCCCTCAAACCAGTCCTGGGTGATGTGTCGATACATAGCCCAGGCCTGCTGTCACCCCTCCTATCCCCTTCTTCGTCCTCTCCTCCTCCCTCTCCCCACTCCTCTCCCTGTTCCCCCACCCAGGGCTTTGCAGGAGGGCACCCCTTAGCCAAGGGGCAGATCAGCAGGGTTGGAAAATCATACAGTTGGAAGCAATCTTGAGAGTCATCAGGATCCTCAGCTGAAGCATTCATGACAGATGGCCACCCAACCTCGGCCTGTATTCACTTCTTCCCACTGTTCCCCATGGGACTGCAAATTCAGGGTTTAAATTTGGGGGGGGGGGGGGAGTTTTCATTTGCAGGAGTTTTTTTAAATTGCTGCTGCTGCACCAAAAGTTATTTTTGTGTTTGCTATATAGAATTGCCCACAGCTCTTGTGTTAAATACAGAGGGCTGTATAACTGCCAAGGCAGGTGTTGGTAGTTTTATTGTGCCAAGGGAATTGTTATTATATATTTGTTTTATACCCCACCTTTTTACTGCAATAGAGACTCAAAGATAAAAATAAGAACAGCTGAAGAAAGCATGGGAGAAGAAATCATTTGAAAAGGATTAATCATTCACAGAACTAAAACTATATGTATATATTAAAAGTCTGTTGAAATCTTATCATCTGCCATCCTCTTGGTGAACCTGCATGAGAGGTTTTCCCTGGGAACCAAGGCTTGGGAATGGGTGATTTATCCAATGAGATTCACTGTGAGGGATTTGGATGTCAGGCTCTACAATACTACAACGGCTCTTGGTGAGATTTGGGGGCTGAAATTAAATACTTGAAGGTGCTTAAGAAAGGTGTATTGTCTAGCCCCTTGACTTAACCCATCCACTCCAAGAAAATGGGACCAATTTGAGATCCTGCTTGAATGTGAACTTTTATTGGTTGTCTGCTTCTAGTCAAAAAGATTCAGAACTTAAAACTGTAATTCTTTTATGAGCAGAAGATGCCTGCCGAAAAACATCAGCCGGAAGGAGGGAATCATGTTTCTATTGGGAGTGATTCAGGTAATACAGGACTAATGGAAGCTGAACAAAGAGGTGCTTTGCCTCCTAGTGAAGGTCACATGGGAGACCATCTGGAAGCTCTTGCCTTGGAAAGCAAGCTACCTGCAGTAGCAGGCACGTCTTCTGGAGCACTGAGAAAGGGACCGCTGCTGCTCATCGACAGGCAGCAAATCCAGTCTGTGGCACGTGGTGCTCAGGCAGATGAACTCAGAGACCTGGAAGTTGATGTGTATGACCAGGATGTATTGGAACAAGGAGTTCTTCAGCAGGTAGACAATGCAATAAATGAAGCAAACAAGGCGGTGCAAATTGCTGATGCAGAAAAAGAATACCAGTCTGTACAGGATGACTTGAGGTAAGTTGAGTTACTTCTTTTTACTTCAAGGTGAAGGGTATACGCATCATGGGGAGTAGAAATTGTGAACTGTGTCTTGCATGCACAGACTGAAGTCTTCTCCCTCTCTTTGTGCTGTGCCCCCACACCCCTTAAATCTGCTCTGGAGGGTTGGAAGAAAGTCCTGTTGCACGAATGGACCTTGTTCCCTGTGTGCATAGCCCACATTGAATTCCACCCTATTGATGGCACATTTGTAGAAGCCTTAGGACACATTTCATCAAGTAAACTAAAAGCCCTGTCCTAGTTATCTGCCAACATACTACAAAATATATTTCAGTCCACTAAATGTCAACAGGTTTATTTACACAAGTACTCAGAACCCAACCATTCTGGTTAGCTAGCTCAGAGAAATATTTGGGTGAAATATTTGGGTGATCATTTATGCTAGGTAAGCCAGTGGAGCTTCTCCAGGCTGGTTATGAAATAGCTTGTACACCAGAGCTGGCAGAAGAAAATCTGAACAGTGCCCCTTTAGTGGATTTACAAAGCATTGCCAAAACATCACAGTTTCACAGAAAGGAAGAAATGTTTTGCTTTCTTAGTTGCTTGCATGATTACCAGCCGGCTGCTAAAATTTTAGATTGCAATTGTGTTGCATTGAAGTCAGTGCATACTTTGTCATGAATTTTGGTAGGCTCAAGATTGCATTTGTAGCTGCTTTCTCTTGTATGAGAAGGATTTGAGCCTTGGGATATGGAAGGTTGGCAGTTCTGTTTCACCTTAATTATTACTCTTCCTTCTTCATGCTAATGCCCTAAAGCAGGAGTGGGGAATCTTTTTCAGGTGAAGTGCCAGATTTTTACTCCCCGCCCAACTCCTCAAGCGGTTTTGATAGGTGGGTAGGACGGCCTACCTGTCAGTCACCTTGTTAAGTTGTGGGCGAACATATCAGACGACACAGCGATTCTTCCAAAGCAGCTCGTTATTTGTAAGCTGCAACAGAACTGAACTGAGGAGCTCAGTCAGCCTGCTTATATAGCGCTCCAGAACAATGTAACTGTTGCCATTTTCTAAAACTATCCAATCACTGAACGTCACTTTTGATCCTTCATTTGCATAACTATCTACAGTATCCCCCTGCCGGCCCAGGGTGAGAACTTCAGTACATAACACACCTGATGTCAGGTGAAGTGCTCTCCATTACATGTGCAGTTTGAAATCAAGCCACATGGACAAATGCAGGGATTTGCAGGCACCACTGATCAGTGTTCAATTTTCTCTAAAATACTGAATGTAAAGCAAGAATTGAAATAAATCTAAATAATTTCTAGTGAGATTTCATTGACCAAGCGTCTCCTCCTCCTCCTCCTGCTTACACAGTAAAAATGTTTTAGGGACCATTGTTATATGATGGTCATATCTTCAAAGTTGCAGGTTTTGTGAGCGTCTATTTTTCAGCTACTATTTACAGAAACAATATTGGGTTTTCAGTTTTAAACATTCCCGAATGTTTGCGTTGAATATGCTTTTATCTGTATTCAGTTTTTGAAGCTACTCAGTGGTGTTCAATAGATGTTGATTAGGTTTGTGTTTTCAGGTCATGTACAACATCCTTGAAACAAATCGCTACAATTATTGAGCAATTTACTCCACAAGCTGCCACTAATAAAGATATTAGTAGAAAACTAGATTCTGTGAAGCGGCAAAAATACAACAAGGTAACTGGAAGTTCCTAATTGTAAGTGTGTTAAATCACCTTTAAATCTTTTTTTAAGTTAGTATCTTAAAGAACTCTGTACAAGTCTCACTGAAGCTAATTTGCTGGTTCTGGCTTCATGAGTCAGATTATTTTATTTTTCAACTTCATGTTGTGTCCGCTTCAGGTTACGTGTTTTCGTGTTGCGTTCTGTGGCAACCTGGAAGTAACCCCTTTCTGGTACTTCCAGGTTGCCGCAGGAAAGGGTTACTTCCGGGTTTCGCCGCTCGTGCATGCGCAAGAAGCACTAAATTGCGCCGCACGCAGATGCGGCACTTCGGCTTGCGTCAGTTCTGTGTTATGGACGGGCCTATGGAATGGATTCCATCCGTAACATGAGGTTCCACTGTAACTGCTGTAGGTGTAGGTTGCAGTTCCCTTAAGCTGTTTTGTACTTTAAACTTGTTATCAGTGGTGAAGGGGAAGACTCTTCCTGTCACTCCTCCTGTCAGATTATTTCTATTTCCTTCAGATTCAACAAATAGATTTATTTGCCCCTAAGTCCAAGGACTTCCAATTGTGGAATGATGGAACAGTGCCTTCCCCCATCCTATCCCCCCAGCACCCACCAAAATTGGCTCAGAACTGGGGTCGGGGAAGCCCCAAGAACAGTAGGGGACTGGGGGATTGTTCCATCTGGCAAGTGGCAGTGCTTGCACAGATGGAATGTTCCTCATAGTATGACATTGAATTCTACCCATTGTATCAGTGCTGGAACATCTGTGCAGGCTCTGTGTTGCCTTCTGGGCTTGGTTCAAGTTGAAGTTGCGAACCACAAATCCTTCATGGGTTTGTAGAAAGAGGGGCATTCTCTTGGCTGTCTTCTGTCATGGAATACTGTTTTCCTAGACGAGTCCTTCCATACTTGGTGCGCTCCAGAAGTTTGGGATTACAGTTCCCATCAGCACCAGCCATGTTGCCTGGTGCGGATGCAAGTTTTAGTCCAGAACATCTGGCGGGCGTCAGGTTGGACAAAGCTGCACTAAACACATAATACAGTGGTACCTTGGGTTAAGAACTTAATTCGTTCCAGACGTCTGTTCTTAACCTGAAACTGTTCTTAACCTGAAGCACCACTTTAGCTAATGGGGCCTCCCACTGCCGCAGCGCTGCTGCTGCTGCACGATTTCTGTTCTCATCCTGAAACAAAGTTCTTAACCCAAGGTACTATTTCTGGGTTAGCGGAGTCTGTAACCTGAAGCATCTGTAACATGAAGCGTATGTAACCCAAGGTACCACTGTATCTTATTTGAGCAGGTTCTAAAAGTTTGGTTTTTTAAACTTGGCTTTAAGTAAAATTTGGATTATTTTAGGGTTCTATGTGTTTGTAGTTATCACAATTGTTTTATTTGTAAAAACATGCAAACATGTTTTTATATTTCTTTTTACAGTTATACATATCAAATGCAAATTGTTCACCTGAGAAGTAGATGTTGTTGTTTTCCTTCCCCCTTGGGAATTGAACGAGAACTTAAGTGAGCTTTACAAATTATGTTTCTGAAGCAAGTACTGTTCACATTCTGTCTTGCTATTTGTTGTCATCGTTGAGAATATAGGGTTGAATCCTACTAAGTCATACTCCATTGAACTCAGTGGACATGACCAGTTTAAGCCCATTAATTTGAATAGGTCTTCTCACAGCATGAATAACTGGATATAACCCAGATAATTTGCTAGTCTGTTTTAACTCTATTCTCTCATGATTTCAGGAGCAGCAGTTGAAAAAAATCAAAGCAAAGCAAAGACGCCTTCAAATAATTCTTGGAGAAGACGTTTCTGGTGAAATAGATGGTGTGGACTTTGAGGAAGATGTCGGTAAGGAAAATGATAATTTATTTGGGTCATCTTGGTATAATACCTTTATTTGAAATCAACTTTTAATATTATGCTTTGAAAAAATACACCAAGTTTATTAGTGAAGTTTATTAACTTCAATGAGTTGTTTTTTTAGAGAGATTTAGCACTGTTTTAATTTTCTGCACCTGCAGAATTGCTCATCTGAGCACTCGTGTGGGAATCTTCATGGATGAAAATAAATCTTGGTTCAGTTCAGAAGGGATGATTGTTCTTTAGAATCACTAGAGCTTTGCTCTTAATAAATTGAAACTGTTAATCAAATTAGCTGAGCTGCAAAAAAAAAAAAAAAAAAGTTTTAAGTTGACAAACACCATGATAGCATTTCACTGAAAGATGTAATTCAATCAATCAACATTCACAATTTTTAATATGTGGAAAGAAAATTATATGCAGTAAACACAAGCACAACAGTATGTTTTGCATTGTTGTTTAGAGCTGTCACTTTCTGTTCCTCACAGCTCCAGCTGCGGTCTACCACCTTTTAAGTATCAACGAGCATGCATTGAACAGGCTATTAAATTAGAGAACTGAAGTTTTGCAAAGATATTGGAAGTTTTGCCCTTATGTCTTGTCAGTCCTTTCCATTTTCTCTTTCTGCTCTGTTGAAAGCATTCTACCGAGGTTTCTCATGCTCCTTTTATTTTTATTCATTTTTTAATAGGATGTATGCCACCCTTCTCATTCATATGCATCACTCATACTGATTTACAGCAATAAAAATGTTACAATCTCATTATACAAAAACAATAAAAAACACATATTAAAAAGAGTTGAGTTCAGCAGATAAAAACACCACAGAAAAGACAATCTGCACAGCAAGACAAGTTTGTCAGAACAGAAAAGTCTTCACCAAACAGGAGAAGATGGAATAGGAAAGGCCAAATGTACCTCATCAGGTGGTCTCAGTGCAGCCACCAAAATGGCCTTGTCTCTCCTAATCATGTGCCCATCACAGTTGGAACCCACTGAAGGGCCTCTCTACTGGATCTTAGGGGGTGGGCAGGCTGATACAGGAGGAGACAGTCCTCAAAATAACCTGAACCCAAGCCATTTAGGGCTTTAAAGCTACATCAACACCTTTAATTGTGCTCTGAAACAAATTGGCAACTAGTACAGTTGTTGCAGAGTAGGGGTCACATGGTCCTGAGGGCAAGCACCTATTGACATCCTAGCTACTGCATTCTGTACTAATGGAAACCTCTCTAGGACCCTTGAAAGTAAGTCCAGTGTAGACTACATTGTTGGCATCTGTCTGTCTCCAGAGACAATGGAATGTACCTCCGGAAGTGAAGTCAAATGGCTGCATTAGCAGCACTGAAGTGACCTCCCTGAACAGTGTGTATGGAGGTCCTGAGCTACGCAGAGATTGATCCCCCATTCAGCTTCGCTGATGCAGTTCAAAGAAAATCAGAGAAATATGTTTGGCACCAGCTTAGCTGCAGGAGTTGCTGGAGGCATACAAGGCGCCATCTAACCGCCTTAGGGTCTCCACTTCGGATTTGTGTAGGGTTTACTCTTTTCTTCTCCCAAAGATATCCCGCAAAGCAGTGGAGGCTTAGGATGAGAGATTTCCTTCTCCTAGATGGGCTGCCTTTCCAGGTTGACTTCCCTCTGGGCTACATTACCGTAATCCAGTTTAGAAGTAACTAAGATGTGTGCTATCATGGCCAGGTTCGATTCAGGAACATGTGCATCTTGTACACCAGCATAAGTTGGGCAAAAGTGCTCCTAGCCTCAGCCAGGGCATACAAATCCAAAGTCAAATCCAGGCACACCCCCAGACTGTAAGCCTGTTTCTTCAAGGGGCATACTAGCACATTCAAAACTTGTTGAATCCTTCTAACAGAGTCCATTTCTCTCCTGGCCAGGAGCACTTCTGCCTTTTCTGGATTAAGCTTCAATTAATTGACCCTCATCCAGCCCATTATTCCCCCAGAATTTAGGGTATCAGCAGCTTTCTTGGTATTAGACAAAAAATAGAAATATTTCTGCTTGTTAACTGCATATTGATGGCTGTGCACCCAAATCTGTGGATGGTCTCCCTCAGTGGGAGGGAGCTGACCCCAACTTCAGGAACTGATCCCAAAGAAATTTTTTTGGTCTTCTGTTTCTTCTATGCCAGGGGTCAGCAAACTTTTTCAGCAGGGGGCTGGTCCACTGTCCCTGAGACCTTGGGGGGGGGGGGGCGGACTATATTTTGAAAGGGAAAAAAAGAACGAAATAACCCAGAGATGCATTTTAAATAAAAGGACACATTCTACTCATGTAAAAACACGCTGATTCCCGGGCTGTCTGTGGGCCGGATTTAGAAGGCGATAGGGCCGGATCTGGCCCCCGGGCCTTAGTTTGCCTACCCATGTTCTATGCTGTATTATCTCACCATGTTCTCCAAATAGGTTATTTGGCTTCTGGTAACACTTTTACAATGATGACCCCTAGATGTCTGTCTTCTCCCACTTTCAGTCCTATAGCTTCTTTCATTTAAGCATCTGTAAGAGCCGCCTGTCTGTCTGCGCCTATTGCTATTTTTTCTCCATTCTCTTTCTTTCTCTCCCCCCTTTTGTCAAGTCTCCATGTTGGTTTCTGGCCATTTTGTGCATTGACATTCTTTACATTTATAGTTTTCCCACCTCTCTGCCCTGTGTTCCTCCTATAAAGCACAAGGATATAACAGATCTGTTCATTTGAACTCTCAGGATAATAGCTTTATCCTGAAGATTGTTTCACACTGAGATAAATGGGTGCGCTTGTCTTTTTCACATACAGTGGTACCTTGGGTTAAGAACTTAATTCGTTCCAGACGTCTGTTCTTAACCTGAAACTGTTCTTAACCTGAGGTACCACTTTAGCTAATGGGGCCTCCCGCTGCTGCCGCCGCACGATTTCTGTTCTCATCCTGAAGCAAAGTTCTTAACCTGAGATACTATTTCTGGGTTAGCAGAGTCTGTAACTGAAGCGTCTGTAACCTGAGGTACCACTGTATATGTTTCTGTTGGAGGGGAAGAAGTCATGTATAGATCTTTTTAATCTTTGGGGAGTTTTGTGTTTTGTAGAACCTGGTCCCTCATCCCTTGGGAGCATGCTTATGCCAGCCCAGGAAACTGAATGGGAGAACCTCATCCGAACTGGTCAGATGACTCCATTTGGAACAAAGATACTCCAGAGCCAAGAGAAGAAGCCCCGTCGGATAATGTTAGATGAAGGAGCTGGTTTTGAAAAATACTTGGCAGATCAAGCAAAACTCTCATTTGAAAGGAAGAGGCCTTCAGTTCGTAAGGGGACCAAGAAGAAAGCTCCTTTGCAGAAGAATCTGATCAAAACTCCAGTATGTCCCATAAAGGGCAAAGGAACCGAGAGTAAAAGCCGGCCCAAAACGGACAGCCGTTTGAAGAAGCACATGAGAAAGCTTCAGAACCACGTTCTTAAGATTCAGGCCAAGGCCAGACTTCCTAAGGGCAGTGAGATACAGGGAGAGGAGCAACAGGAGGACAGTGAGGAGTCGGAATACAGGCCTGATGAAGAAGAGCTTGGCAGTCTGGATGGGGAAGATGAATTTTTTCGAGAAGATGATGGCGATGATTACGAAGTGAAACCTCTGCCAAGGAGAAAGAGATTTTCATTAACACACGAATTTCAAGAAGATGTTGGGGATGATGACTTTTTCCCAAGCTCTGATGAAGAGGAGGATGATGATATTGCTGGGAAAAGGAGAATTAAAAAATGTAGAGATGACGGCAATGAAGATTACTATAAACAAAGGTTAAGGTTAGTAAAAAACAACAACACCCACCCAAATATTTCTAGTGGCAATTCCAGTTGTTTTTTTTAATACATACAAAAACTAGACTGTTGTATGCCTCCTACATTTTAGAACAGCTGGGTAACAGAACAGAAGATCCTTAATATCAGAATATGTTGTGGTTTCATTTTTTTCTTGGAGAGCTCTTTTTATCCCAATGAAATAATTAGATGTATATGCCCAGTCAGTGCAAAAAAGCATGGATATTGTAATGTATGAATGACTAACAGGGTACTCTATAAGTAAACATATATCATTAAATATGGTGGTGCAAAGTACAGTACCCAGTGGGCAGAATTTCATCTTCAAACAGGGTAAAGGCTGTTCTGTTTAGGGGCCTTCCTTTGACTGCTTCTCTCTATTTTGCTGCTTCTCTCTATTCCTTTGATTGATTGATTGATTGATTGATTGCTTCAAAAAGTCTTAGCATAAGTGCTTGTAGTGATTTGCAGCCAGTGTTAGTTGTGCAGCTCCACTATTAGGTGATTGTGATGCCATACCACTCAGTAGTGGCATGAAGTCTGTTGTGCTGGATAAGTTGAGCTTACTCAAAGGATTTGTCTTTTAGAAAAATGAAAGTGAATGCACTTGTTTTTTTAAATCAAAAGACTTAATTTAAAATAAACCACATGTTGTTGTTGTTTTGAAAACTAATCTACCTCGTCACGGAATAATTTTTATTCCAAAATTGGCCCATTGTTGGGCTGGTAGAAAGCAGAATTGTGAGACCTCTGAAACTATTTAAAAGAAAAACCATATTCTCCTAATCTAGGCCCCCGAGGAGAACAACCCAACTGATTCCTTTTGGCTGGAGAAATAATAGCCTTTCTGAGAGATGGACTAAAGAATTAATAAATGTATTAATCTGTAAAATATTTGCCATTTTATTGAATGAAGCTCAACTTTTTTCCATTGACTTAGCTCAATATTAAATCATTTTTAATTCAGAGTTTTCATCAAGAGTAATTTATTTTGATTGAAAGTTTTAATATGATTCACAATTTAAATCCATCCAGACAAGTTTTTTAATAACGTTAAGATCGTAACAATTTATCCCTGCTAAAGTCATACATTTCCTGCAGTTGCTTAAGTTACAATAAAAGCCTAAATGAATTTTAGAAATATCAATAATTGTAATTGCCACCAAAACATCATAGCTCCTAAAATTTCATAGCTCTAGTTATTGTAGCTGTTAAACTGCAGCTGCCCACATTGACGTTCTTGTACTTGCATTCCCCAGGTGATCTGTACCGTGGGAAATGCTGCTAGGAGATAATGTGGAGTGAATTTGCTAAAGGAACAGCATTTGCTTACACTTGCATCTTATTCCTTGTCAGTTATAGTTGTTTATAAAAACAACTGGATGAGTGTCTGGCAAGTTTCACCCCCAAATGATGGATGCAGTCCTCCTGGATTGCTCGATGGAGCATTTTGCTGTGTGGGGAGTCCCACGTACTTCAAGAGGCAGAAAATGAGTTTTCTTTCCACAGTGAAGCTTTCAAGATTGTATCTGGGAGATGGTCCTGCATCAAGGTGAAAATATTACGCTTGTAAAGCTTGACAGTGAGCCAGCTGTGATTCTCCTCTGAACATCTGAAGCACAAGGCCAATTAAAAGTTTGTGATTCCAGGGGGAGAACGTGCAAACAGGGGGACTCTGTAGTAGTTCTGCCTTGTCATTTTTCTGTGGCAGATCGTTCCGAGGGAGAGGGAGCCCTCATTTTAGGAAGAAAGGTATGAGAGCAAGGGAGGCAGTTTACTTCTCTTAGTATGCCCAAGTGTGGATGGGAAATTGGAGGCTGCATATTATTATTATTTTTTTTAATTAATATTTATTAAGTTTTCAAAGAATAACAACAAAAATTTCCAAAAAAATTGAAAATACAAAAAGCAAAAACGATAAAGAAATAAAAAAGAAAAAAACCAACCATAAAGAAAAAAAGAAAAAAGAAAAACAAAAGTATAAAATCATTTACGATCTCTATTAACTTCCTTTCTAGACTTCCTCCTCCTCCCCTCTCTTGTTTCTTAATTTTTAATTTTTACAGCAAATCCTTTCTGTTTTTTCATAACATTCTATCATTACATTTCCTTATTCTATTTTCCCTCTTGTCATATAAAAACTTTAAAACTCAAAGCTTATATTCAGTATTTACCAAATTCTTACATCATTACCTTTTTGCAAATCATTTACCAATCCTTACTTAAGCCATATAGTTTCATTCAACATCTTTCAAACATTTATGAACGTTCCCAATATTGAAAAATAGAAAAATAAAATAAGATAATAAGTCAGACACAATCCAGTCAACTTCCAGCGCCCCCTCCCTGGACCCGGGATTGTCAGTCCTTTTAACCTCAATAGTCCGGCTCCTTAACCTGGTTGTCTCGTGTCCGAGGCCCTCAAATCTCTTTCTTGCCCCTTTCGCAGCTCTTCTTGATGTTTCCCTTTCAGTCGTGGGTACTCCAGCAGAAAGATACTTTTGACCCTTTGCAACAAGTCCATCCCATGCCCATTGTCCAAGCCAGACAGCAGATAATACCACTTCAAGTTTCCTTGAAACTTGGAGGCTCCGACTACTCCAATCCTCTGATGGCCCATCACCAGACTCGGAAAGTCCAGATAACCATATAAAGGGGGGTCAATCCACCCCCCATTTCCAAATCTAACCACATTTCATCTTTCCGAATCTGATTTATCCCAAGTTCATTTATCAAGTTCAAAGGCTGATCCTGCCGGTCCAAAGGTCCCTCCATCTCTGAAGCCTCCATCACTACAGCAGGTTCATATACTTGTAGATATTTTAACTGAGTTCCATTTACTTGCTGCTGTGCTCTGGTAACTTCCGTCATCAAGGTCGTCTCCTGACGCATCTGGTCCAGCTGGGCACTTAGTTTTGAAAAACCTTCCAGGAACATTTGTTCAAGCCTTTGTACAAGCATTGTCCTTCAGGGTCAAAGAAAATTCTTTCCCACGATTATAGTCCTTCACTTTTAAGCTCTCTGCGTTGCAGTTTCACTAAATCCCACTAGAGGGAAAACCTTTTTTTTTCCTTTTTTTTTTATAACGGAGAAAATCATCAGCAACAGTCTTTCTTTTCCAGATACACTTTATCCAAAGTTCCCCCTTCAAAATTCAAGAGGCAACAGTAGAGTCACAATGTTACCTTTCTTTTAACTATCTGTCGAGCTGGACAAGCTTCAAGACGTCAGTTCTGACAGCCCGCTCCTGGTTCAGGGCGGTGGAAAATTACTTTGTTTTAAACTCACTTCCGCAGGGTTATAAAGTCCAAAACAACCCCCTTCTTCTCCTGCAGTCAAAGGGGGGGTTCAGAAATCTTAGGTGTTGAATTCTAGTTCTCTCAGAATTTAATTTTCAAGCTTTAGTATATTTTGTCTTTGCTTTCTTCACGTAACAAAAGAACGGAAGGTTGACTTCCTGCTTAGACCTTCTCATTCCAAGTCCCAATTAAATTCAATTTCAAGTCCAATTTATTTATTTATTCACCAGTCTTAAAAGTAATTCAGCTCTTCCAAGATCAGGTACTCACGGATAGATGTTTTAGATGCCAAATTGTCCCAGGAAAAAGGCAGCGCTCTCCGGAAACGGCAGTGCGGCTTTGCTGCACGAAAGAAGCAGTCGACTCACAGCACCACGCACCTCCCACTCCGGAGCCCGTTACCGGGCTCCTGTACCAGGGGAGAGAGCGCTCACGGTGCCCGCTGAGTCCCACGTCCACAGGCTTCATCCGCCTGTGGGTTTTAAGGGTCCCCGCTGCGCCGTAGCGGTAGGACCCAAGCTTCCGTGCAGCGGGTTCCCTTCAACTTGAAGGGAATTCCGCCATTTTCCGGAGGCGCCACCCCGGAGGCTGCATATTAGATTGGTTTGAATGCCGTTGCCTTAAGTACTGCAGTTTTTTAAAAAAAAAATTCTAATATTCATAACCCACTTTATTGTGCGCAAGAATTTCCAAAATGCCTGCCAGTAAAACCATTGAAAATTCCAATATAATGAAATGGACGTCGTAAGAACAAGGTCATAATAGCAGTAGATTGGGCAAGTAAAACATAAAAGCAGCGTTAACCAAAACGCCTAGTAACAGTTGAGACCATGGGTTGATTCCACCCCTGAAAAGCAGCCCCAGAAGGTTGGTGACTGTCCCAAACAATGTGGGAAGTGATGCTGGAGTCTGAAGAGGAATTATCAAAAATGGCGTCCCTCTTTCCTCCAGCAGAAGCCTCTGCTGGATCTCAGTCTCTTCTGCAAACAAAGCGAGCCTTTCCGCTTTGCAGAAGGCCAAGTCTGGACCCGTCCCAATGATTTCAATAGGCATGCTTATTTATCACATGCGAGCGTAACTTTGTTATTATGTGAGATGTGTTGCTTTTAGATCAGGGTGGGTGAAAATTAAAATAAGATAAACTGTGTCTTACATCAGGCATAGGTAAACTCTTTAAATTTCCAGGGGGTTCATATCAGTGGTGGGTGCAGCCAGGTGCAAAAGTGGGAATCTAGTTTGAAGCTAGATTCTTCAAGCTAGTTTCTTCAAGCCTAATATTTCCATCCAAATTGTGGCACGGGTTTGGCCATGTCTGGGGAATGCATGTCCCTCCAAAGGTTTCCTAATGCTGCATTTGAACTTCGAAAAAACCACCTAATTTGTTCAAGTCTAATTGCATTGGGGGGAAGTTTGGGGGAATAAGGTCATGCTGCGAAACAGATGAGAAAGTGCCCGAGGGCCAGTGGTTTTTCACCCCTTTGATTGGATTTTGTTGCAGTTGTTCTGCTGATCCATCTTTTTGCCACAGTGTGTGGTCTACTGTTTAGAGGGTCAGACTAGGACCTGGGAGATCACAGTTCAAATCTCTACCCAGCTATGAAGCTCTCTGGGTGACCTTCGACTAGTCACTGCCTCCCAGCCCAAATTTACCTCCCAGGGATGTTGTAGGGATTAACTGAAGAGCGGGGAGAACACCTTGAGATCCTTGGATGAAAAATACATTATTTAGCCATGAATCCAAATGGTACATCAACCCCACCCCCTTATATGTGTGAGGAGCTAATTTGATTTGGACCACCAAATGCCACTGAGAAGAGACAGTGTTTCTCTACCACAGTGATCCATGTGACGGTCACCTCCAGGCTTGACTACTGTAATTCGCTCTACGCGGGGCTGCCCTTGAAGCTGTCTCAGAAACTCCAGCGGGTTCAGAATGCAGCAGCGAGGCTCCTCACGGGGTCTCTGCCATGGGAGCATATTCACCCAGTGCTTTTCCAGCTGCACTGGCTCCCGATGGAATACAGGGTCAGATTTAAGGTGCTGGTTTTGACCTTTAAAGCCCTTCACGGCCTAGGACCCTCGTATCTATGGGACCGCCTCTCCCGGTATGCCCCACGGAGAGCCTCAAGGTCCATAAATAGCAACACCCTAGTGGTCTCGGGCCCCAAGGAAGTTAGATCAGCTTCAACCAGAGCCAGGGCCTTTTCAACACTGGCTCCAGCCTGGTGGACACTCTGTCTCATGAGACCAGGGCCCTGCAGGATCTGATTTCTTTCCGCAGGGCCTATAAGACAGAGTTGTTCCGCCTGGCCTTTGGCTTGGAGCCAATTTGATTCCCTCCCCCTCTTTCTTTTCCCTTTCTCCTCCTGTGATGAGGCTGCATTTTAATATTTTAACGTTTCAGTATTTTAATTTTTGTATTTTAATCTTGTTTTTAAGTTGTATTCATTCAACTTGTTTTTATTATTGCTTGTTAGCCGCCCTGAGCCCAGCCTTGGCTGGGGAGGGCGGGGTATAAATATAAATTATTATTATTATTATTATTACCTGTGAATGGCTGGTGGCACTGGATTCCAACTTCCACCTTGAAGGACCACATTTTTCCTCCAATAGTTTCATTAGGAAGAGAGGTGCCTTTCTAGCCCAGCCTCTTGGGCAAATTATGTCCAAATTAAAACAGGTCCTGCCTCCAGCTGGGCAGAGCAAGGAGCTCCTCATGGCGTGGCCCGTTGTCTGATGAAACAGGAAAAGACAGTTCACTGATAAGGAACTTGATTTTGGTGTAGATGCCTAATCCTCCGCGTCATCCTGGCTCTGCTCACTGAGACTTGTAACTCTAATGGCATATGTTTAATCTGCCGAGGAGGCAGCGATTAGAGGGACCCCCACACAACTCATAAAAAGCCAGATCGGAAGAGTAACTCATTCTCTCAATTTACAAAATGAGAATGATCATTAAGGGAATCTTGGCTGTCTGAAATGGAAAATATATTATGCTTCAGAAACACAAACTATATTAAATACCCAGCTTGGTTCCTGAATATGTTTGGAAAAATCAGATTGTGATCTGTTGTGAGCTACATGTTTGAAGTGCCTGGCTGCACTTTTGTTCAAATGGGGAGGGGGGAGAACTGTGTAAGTCATCTGGAGCTCCTTGGAGGAAGGGCATGATATAAATGTAATAATAAATTTTAAAAAATGTTTTCATAAGCCCATGTTTAAAGATGGATGAACTCAAATTACTCTGGCGTTAACAAGACAACCTATAGGTTTTATGTTGCATTGACTCCAAGGTTCATGAAAACCCTTTTCAACTTTTGTCCACTTTCAGGCATCACATCTTCTAGCAAGAGAATGCAGTAAATAGAAAATGAACTCGTGTCTAAATTCCATCCTTCATTAATTAAACCACCTGCATTAATTAAAAGGATATGGAATCACGGCAGGGAGAGCAAGAATAAGGCATTGATCCAGTAAGGATTATTGGACCCAAGGAGGCCTGTTATTCCCAAAGTGATGCATTATTGTCCAAAGAGGACTTCAGCCCAGCTTTCCTGCATCGATGATCAATTATCATTTTAATTCTTAATATTGTAGGTTTCCATTTGTAGACATGGCCTGGTTAAAGTTAAATCCAAATCCAAGCATTTTAAACCGATGCTTACAATTTCTTAAAGCTGAACCAAAGAGCCAACAAACTCGCTTGGTTCAAACGTATCGGGAAACTGGAGAACAGGTCATAGGGCAGCCTTTCTTGAGAGTGCGGCGGGGGAAAGTAATCTGGCAATTAGGCTTGGAAAGAAAAGCTAAAGTGTTCAAGCTTAATTGCTGAGAGAATTCTGTGTGCATGTGGGTGACCATGTACACCTCTGGTGTATGTCCCCTAGAGCAGGTGTGGCCAAACTTTTCTCTCCAGATGTTTGGGGACTACAACTCCCATCATCCCTAGCTAACAAGACCAGTGGTCAGGGATGATGGGAATTGTAATCCCAAAACATCTGGAGGGCTGAGTTTGGCCATGCCTGCAGAGGGTTGGCCAAGCAGGGATGCATCCCTTAGGCCAAAGGAAAGTTCACCACGGCTGCAGGGTGATGCGAAAGCCCTTCAACATGTGATAACGGAGCTACATGAATACTTCACAAAAGGAGATAGCTCTCATCACAGTGGTTTGGTGGCTCCGTAACTAGTTAGTTAGTTAGTTAGTTAGTTAGTTAAATAAATAAATAAATAAATAAATGCCTTGTTTCACAGTGGTATCAACCTATGCTGATTTTGCGTCCCAATACGTTTGGACCCGCAGCACTCCCCGTTCTGTTAGCTGCTGTTGATGTTTAGCTTATGGGTGTCTAGCATGACAGCCTGTCAGTATTCCAGTCTCCTGCAAATGCACTAGGGTCGATTTGCTAGAGGAAGTAGACATTTGGAAGCACTCAAAATCCTTGTAAAAACATAAATGATTCACTAATCCTGCTTGCATCTCTTGCACAAAATAAAATAGTTTGCTAACAAGTAATAAATCAGAGCTTTTAATTGCGCACATTAATATGCTTCCATTGGGTTTTAGTTGCTGTATCAATTGTTTTATCAGTGACTTTATTGCCATCGCAAAACCTGGAAATAGCAGCAATATTCGCTATTTATCCTTTACCTCTTTATTTGTTGGTATTGATGGCTCTTTGTCGTGGCCGTACGACACTTGAGTACAGTTTGCTAAACGCTCCTTCGCCTTTTCTTTTTGCTTGGCGGATTTCGTTCAGACATTTGGCAAACAGGTAAGCTTTTGCAGGTGGTGGAAAAATGGTTGCCAGCTTCACAAATGATACCTTTAGCTGGGCATGCAAAATGTGTGAAATATTATTTCTTGCTCTTTGCCATTTTACATACCAACTGACAAATTAAAATCAGTAAAGCGTTTATAAACAATCAACACTCAGCTAAATAAATTCAGAAGCAGCGCTGGCACAACAGTTACCATAGAACCAGCATAAAATCCTTAAAAAGCAGTATGGAATCCATAAACAGAACTAAACAGAACTAGCAAGGGGGAACGCATAGGAGGCTGTCTTAAACCAAGTCTGACTGGGAGGCTGTCTTAAACCAAGTCGATTGCCACTGCCGGCGAGCGATGACAATACAGTCCTACCTGGCGACACAGGGGCTTGAATCAGGGATGTTCTGCACACGAGCATGTCTGCTACCACAGATCTTTAGCCCTTTCCCAAGCGTTTGGATAGCTCAGTTGGTAGAATATGACTCTTCATCTCAGGAACATGGGTTCAAGTTCCACATTGGGCACAAAGATTCTTGTGTTGCAGGGGGTTGGACTTGTTGACCCTCGTAGCACCTTCCTCCCAACTCTGCAGTTCTATAATTAAATCTTAAATTGTTTAAAAGTTGTGGGAGAATACAGGAGAGAGACAAGTTTTGTTGCAACTGGGGTGCTCCTTACCTTACCACCAGCATTAAAACTCAGCTCATACACAGACATAGTACCCATTTTCCTCTTAGAAAATGAATTTGAATCACTCTTTGGCAGAGTCTTTTGGAGCAACTTTATTCTCTCTTGACTATGCTTTTCTTAACTAGAACAGGAGCATCCGGTCTCCCATGTTGTTGGACTACAACTCCAATCGGCCCCAATCAGCATTGCCGATATGGAAAATGATCAGCTTTATAGTGTAACATACTGAAGGCCATGAATTTCCCATCTCTAGGCTAGAGTTTAGGGTATTTGACAGTGTCTGAACCCCTGTCTGCTATAGCAGAGACTGGAACTTCTGTCAACATTTTGCAAATGGTTTATTTTTATTTTGCTTGGGAAAGTCATATTAAATGTATCTGCCTTCAGACAAGCTGCAGGTAATCTGAAAGAAGGATTGCTGATCAGGTTGTTTACACATTTCCTGCTTAATTCTGGCAAACAAATATCAGAAGCTTTTGAATTGTTTTCCAAAACATTTAAAAATAATGTTTTACCAAAGGTGGGGATGTAGCAAAAAAAAAAAAAAGAAGAAGAAGAAAAAGCAAAAGCTCATAAGCTCATAAGCTGCTTTCAACTCTTCTGAATCTGGTTGCTCCAGATGAATTTCTGTTTCTAATCTGTAGGGAATATATCTTGGAGGGAAACGACATGCCTTGTTCATGGTGGTGCTCCCTGAGAAATTCCCTTCTGTATAATGAAATAGTGTTAGTTTGAAGTAAGTTTCTCCTACTCTTCCCTTCACCCACCTTTTTCTGCTGGGTGCAGGCTCCAGCTGGGAAAAGTACGCAGGACACAGAAAGTTTTGGTAAGGGTGGGGCTGAAATGTACAATGGATTGATCACCTCCCATTGAAGTTAGCGGGTGTGGATTCGCACTGCCATCTTAAATCATCGCATGCTCTCTCTTGCTGTCTCATGTTGTCATCCTGTTGTACAGAATGATTCTATTTTTCCGATAACAAATGTCTTCTAAAGGCCGTATAGCAGTGTGCGCAATAGGTTGATAAAAGTTTTTATGCCGACATTTAATTTGCCTTGAACTTTGGTTGGGTTTAGTGATTCAGTTAACCGTGTGAAATGTCTTGCAAACATCTTTTGTATCCAGATACTGTATTATAAAAGCATGTTCTCCCTCTTTCCCCCAACCACCCATTTTTTCTTATGTTTCTAAATTTAAACACATAAACCTGCTGAATCCAGCCAAAGGCCCGTCTAGTACAGCATGCTGTTCTCACAGTGGCCAACCAGATACCTGCAGGAAGCCTGCAATTTGTAGAGCACTACTTTGTAGAGTGCCCACAGGAAGCCTGCAATTTGCAGAGCACTACTTCGTAGAGTGCCTTACAGTCTTTCTCACTTCTTTATATCCGTCCTGTAGGAAAGCCAGCCAGAGAGTGCTTTACCTTGCCCAAGGCATAAGCACTTAAGCTCAGCTGGAATCTGAGCCCAGGTTTCTTATGTCAAAAACAACACACTGTCTGCTGGACCACAATAGCTGCTTTTCAGATTTGTTTTCTGTTCTCTCCTAGCTGCCTAAACTAACACTGGCGATTAAATGGTGATTCTTCTTGTAATTTCAGGAGGTGGCACAAGCAACAACTGAAAGACAGAGAGGAGCGGCAGAAGGCGGGGGAAGATTCGGATGATAGCGATGCTGAATTTGCTGAGGGTTTTAGAGTTCCAGGTTTCCTTTTCAAAAAACTTTTCAAGTATGTATATTAAAGTAGCGAACAACAATTCATTGCTATAAGGGGTTTGCTAATGTATCAGTACAAACTGGAAAAGTTAAGAGTAAACCGAGTAGCTCAAGTGTATTATGGCATTCTGCAGTCAACTGAAGAACTTGAATTCCATTGTGGTTATACGTTTGTGTTGTGTTGTAGCTGCCAAAACTGCATAGGCATGTGTCCATCCTACACAAGCATAGTCAGTGTGTAAAGCAGAGAGATCACTCCATTCATGCCGTTAGTCTTTCCATTCAGTCCTTTAGCAAATGATTCAAGCAGCGTAGCTTGTGAGCTGCCTGGCTGTAACACTTCATTGAGCATGGTGGTCTTGAGAAAATAATAATAATAATAATAATAATAATAATAATAATAATAATAATAATTTATTATTTATACCCCGCCCATCTGGCTGGGTTTCCCCAGCCACTCTGGCCGGCTTCCACAAAGACCAAAAATACACTAAGATGTCACACATTAAAGCTTCCCTGAACAGGGCTGCCTTAAGATGTCTTCTGAATGTCAAGTAGTTGTTTATCTCTTTGACATCTGATGGGAGGGCGTTCCACAGGGCGGGTGCCACTACCGAGAAGGCCCTCTGCCTGGTTCCCTGTAGCTTTGCTTCTCGCAATGAGGGAACCGCCAGAAGGCCCTTGGCGCTGGACGTCAGCGTCCGGGCAGAACGATGGGGGTGGAGACGCTCCTTCAGGTATACTGGGGCGAGGCTGTTTAAGACTTTAAAAGTCAACACCAACACTTTGAATTGTGCTCGGAAACGTCCTGGGAGCCAATGTAGGTCTTTCAAGACCGGTGTTATGTGGTCTCGGTGCCGCCCCCAGTCACCAGTCTAGCTGCCGCATTCTGGATTCGTTGTAGTTTCCGGGTCATCTTCAAAGGTAGCCCCATGTAGAGTGCATTGCAGTAGTCCAAGCGGAAGATAACTAGAGCATGCACCACTCTGGTGAGATAGTCCACGAGAAGTGTTTATTGCTTCCCTGGATCTCACAGCTTGGTTAACAGGTTCCTCACCAACTGCTGGTGGACTTAAGGGTGTGTTACGCTGTTGTAACCATAATCTAAAAATGGATCTATGATTAGAGAAACCCAAAGAGAATTCAACCAAGACGGGCAACTAAATATGAGTCTTGGCATGATAGCCGTCCCTAATGAAGGGTATCCCCTTGCAAGCATGAGTCAGCTGGCAAAACTTCCTGAGTGGTTAAAAAGATCAATTGAGCTGAATGATTTGTCTGACATGCAATTTAAAAGATGAGATCTCCCCAGCAGGAAAGGGAGGTTGCCATCATTAAGCATTAGAGGCTCCTCTGACCACACTGGAGCGCAAAGATGGCAGCAGTGAATCCCGATGCCGATTGATCAACTCCCAGTTAGTTTGTTCCTGGCTCTTAATTTTTCTCAGCAGGTCTTCTGAAAACTTTATCCTTTTCTAGGGTTTGTTTTTGCTGAAGTTGAATGAGGGCAGTCCTGAAAACTCCCATTTTAGTTTCTGTGCTTTGCAGTTTCAAAAATATATTTGGAAAAGAGAAGCTAGAAATGGGAGAGTAGAAAGCGGCTCGGCCATTTCTCCTCCCAACTTTCAAGCATTCTGTTCGTATATCAAGTATTAATAGACTAGAGATCTATACCAGTTGCAACCTACTGTGTCTCTCTGAAAAGACTATGAAATATGCTAAATTCTATGCAGTTAAGAGGCACTTTAAGTCATAGGATGTAGAGAGCTACAAGAGACCATGAGGAAGAGGCCAAAACTTGTGTATGTGACTCTGGTAGGTCCTATTGGGTGTTTAAATGGAGAATTTGGTCTATTCTTTTTTTAGGCTTTTCTCTGCATCTAGGGCTAGAATGGCAGGCCCAGAGCTCAGTGTTGGAGTCCATCTGGTATGTGAGGAGAGATGGGCTATATCCCTTCCCATGATGCTCTGCTTGCTGCTGGTATTCTCTCCCTTGCATGAGTTTAGCTTCTTGGTTATGATACGTCGCAGAGAATGAAATGAGCAAGGACTCCTGTGCCTTGCTCACTCTCGGCAAGAACTCACTGTTGCCATCTGTTCGGCAGATGCCATCCGAAGGGAGAGGAAAGACTCTGCCACACTTACCTGCTCCTCTAGCAATCACACTGGTTGCTCAGCATTGTACACCCCACACCCCATGTGAAGAAATGCTTTGTTTTGCAATATCGGGGGGAGAGTGGTCTCCTGTGTCCTTGTGCCTAGTGAAGTGAAAATGTTAAGAAACTAGCTTGTTGAGGGATGCGAGTAGGAATCTACAAAAGGCACCCTTCCAACTGTCAGTAGGAGAAAGAGAGCAATGGTTTTAAATAAACAATAGGCTTTTCAGTTGAGCTGAAGAATTTGGTGAGCTTTTTGTGAGGAGTCAGCATCCTCAGATGAGAGAAGGTGGTGAGAGAGAGAGATTCTTTTTTAAGCCCAAATTTAGATCATGTCTCACGTGTGCAACCTGCCTTAAAGCCCTGGGGATAGATTAGCAAGTGAGCCAGACGTTCTCCACACACTACAGATGGCAGAAGACCCCTAGGGATCACTCGCTAATCTAACCTGATGGAAATGTGTTCCTCCTCCCAATTCGAGTGCTTTTGGGGGACCACAATCTCTTTCTGACCTCACTGACCACCCAGTTGAGGCATGAGATGGAATTACAGTATACAGTCATCTTTCACACATTTATCCAACTATTCCTCTGAACAAAGGAGATTCTTCCTGCAAAACTTCTGTTTTGGCAGAATTTTACATTCTTGGTTGAAAACCACCCCTAAACTTACTAGCAGGCAGCTTGCAGCCGTTGTTTTTGTACTCCTAATCTGACCTAAGCCGTATTGTTGTTTGTATTTGCTGTATCCATCCCTGAAGGACAGCCCTTCCCCTGCTCCCAACCCCTTTCATCTTAGTTTGACAGCTATCTTTTATCTCAATGCTGCTTACGTAAAGAGAAGTTGCTGGTGAACTGTGCCCAAAGCATAGCCCATCTTCCTGCTTCCAAATAGGGAGAGACAAAAATTACCCTGGATAGTTCAGCTGCTTAGAGCTGATAATGCCAAGGTTGCAGGTTCAATCCCTGTATGGAACAGCTGCATATTCCTGCTTGGCTGGGGATTGGACTAGATGACCCCCCCACCCAGGGTCCCTTCCAACTCATCAATTCTATGATTCTGTGTTTTTGCAATTTGTAACTTGTGTAATTTAGCAAGAACAGCCTGATAAGTTTTCACTGGCAAAGGGATTACTATTATTTTTAAAACCTCCCTCTTCTTAGTTTGTAGCCATTGTTTACTTTTTGTTCCTTTTCAGCACTAGCTGTTGGGCTCCTGGGCATGGAACCACTCTGCCACGTTCCACTGTGATTTAACAGTCCTCCTATATGTTGGGCTGCGGAAACAATTGCACTTACTGTTCTGAAGAACCAGAAGGGGCCGTTCTAGCAATATTTATACAAAACGAAATAAAACACCCTCCAATTATCACGTCCCGGTTTAATTAGATGTACTTTTAACATTGCACAAAGAGCGAGTTCCTCACATCCAACGTCCAAAGGCATAAAAAATGCATGACGCTGTAAATACAGCCTTCATGTAAAACACATGCTGCAGCATGTTACGGTAACTAGCTTCTGAGTGTTGCAAATGACTAATTCATGTGTTTGTCCTGTTGTAATCTCTTGTTTGCCATCTGATTTTGCCCTTTTACTTGCAGGTACCAGCAGACAGGTGTTGGGTGGCTCTGGGAATTGCACTGCCAGCAGGTGGGAGGAATTCTGGGAGACGAGATGGGATTGGGCAAGACCATCCAGATAATTGCTTTCTTGGCAGGTCTGAGCTACAGCAAGATCAGGACGCGTGGTTCAAATTACAGGCAAGTGCTCTTCCGCAGACTGTCAGTCTGTGGAGCTCGATGAATATTTCATTGGATGTATTGCCGTGGAGGAGGGCCCCGTGAATTATTAATGGCATTTCAATTACAATATTCCTTTAATTCTTTTAGCGGGGGACATCAAAGGAAATTTTTTTACGAGACGATGGAGCTGGAGGGCAGGAAAAATTAAACATGTAACACTCTTAATGAATTCCAGGCATTGATGCTTCATTTTGCAGATGAGCCTCGCCAGTTATTTTGGGTCAATACTATGTCTTAAGGTTATAGAGCACAAATGGATTGCTTACCAATTCAATTATGTTAATATTGATAGTTTACACAGTATGGAATTTTCAATTAGGGGTAATACCTTTAGGTCAACTTATTACGTTTTTACATTAAAATATTTGCTCTGGCAAGAGACCAGTGGACTACTTTCATAGGCAGTCACAGTCTTCTTTGGGATGCTGGAATTGAGAGTCAAGAGTGAGCAAGGAAACATTCTTGCAAGATCCTTCCTTGGGTCAGCACAGACAACCCACGTTCAAGTAGAGGGAGTTCCCGCTTTCTTTTTTTTATACAACCTGCTCCTTGTTGTCTTCCTCCTCCCATCCCATTCCCCTGGAACCTCAAGTATCTGTAGTTATCAATCCAGCAATCGGAACAGTCAGGGGAAAATGTCTTGCGGCCCCTGGAAGCCCTAATGGGCATTCGCAAATTCGCTTGCTGATTCAGGTGCCCCTGGCTGCAACAAAAGGGGTTCCCAGCAGCCTCCAAGAAGCTGTTACTTATGCTGCTGTGTGGAGAATTAAGTGAACAACCAGGGCTGTTGCTTAGTGTATCCAAGCCTTAGTCTAAATAAGGTAAGATCCTGCCCGGATTTGGATTCCTTGACTTGCAGACTGTGTGGCATGTAGAAGGCACATAGAAGCCTGATTGATGCATGTAGTACCTTCTATGCACAAGGCTATTCCAGACTGTTATGCCTTACTGAGTTTCCTCTCTTTGTGGTTGTTGCACAGACGGTAGACTGGATTGAGTTTGTGGCATTTTTTCCTGTGCTGGTAATTATTCCTAGTAACTTTATCTGCTACATCCCTTCATATGCTGTTGCTTTTATTTCTCTACCACGATCGCCCCCTGCCACTGGCTCTTGCAGGCATTATTTTAAAATTGGGATCAGCCTGGTTCTCTAAATTTAACCTGCAGTCCCCTGGTGTTTCTGTGTTTTACTGGTTTAACTGGTTGGAAGAGGAAAGCTAGTATAACTTCCCCAAAACATTTCATTTAGCGCTGTGGCTGTTAATGACTCCAACTCCTTAGCATCCCCCTTTCCATTGTCTTCTACAGCGTCATCCTGCTATTTAATCTCATAGTTTTGCACCCAACTCTTCATTTCTAACTTGAATACAGTTGTTCTGATAGCTCTCATAACGCATGCTGCTTCTTTCACAGTGCTGTCATCTTGTGATCTCTTCTAGGTTCCAAGGGCTGGGTCCAACAGTGATTGTGTGCCCAACCACAGTGATGCATCAGTGGGTGAAGGAGTTTCATACTTGGTGGCCTCCGTTTAGAGTTGCAATTCTACATGACACGGGCTCTTACACCAATAAAAAGGTACCTGCTCATTCAGGATGCTGCAAATCCAGACCTTTCTCTGCTGAATAGGAACAGTTTGCACTTCTTTCTTTCAAAAGTGTCGTGAGAATTTTGTTGCCAGCACTGAAGATAACCCTTGAAGTTTTAGCTTTGCTCCCTCCCTCGCAGTGTTAAATGGAACGCATGTTTTCCCCCATGAAACACCTTGAGAGTTTTTGTTGCTGTGTGACATTGAGCGAGCTGTATGGTGCAGTGATTCAGCATCAGTGAAAGCCCAGCCCATCAGGGCCTCCATTTTTATAACCCCCCCCACTCCTCCCTCCACCTGAAGAATTTAAGAACAAAACACAGCACAGAGGGCATAGCATCTCTGCTATAGGTTCCGTCATACACAAAGGCCACCTTTTTAAAGATACTTATAGGGTTGCTACTTTTATATCAGTGCTTTCGTTCAGCACCAAGGTCTGTGAGTTGGGTGCCCCAGCAAATAGTTTTCTATGGAACTTGTTGCAGCAAGGTGTCCTGCCTGGGGTTATTTTTCTAAAAAACAACAACCCCAAGCTTGCTCTTTTCTCCCTCTCCCTGCTGCTTCTCCACTTGGAATTGCCCTAGCTTCTGTTGCACATGCATACATGCTTTCCGCAGTTCAGCCTTTAGATCAGTGATTAGTTAGGCTGGCCTTCCCTGTGCAGCTGGACTTGGCACCATTCCCTTGATCTCACCATTCCCATGCCCCTTGCAGACTTTACCAGGGTCTTCCCGTCTTCAGGGAGCACTTGCCCAGGAAACCTGCAGCTGTGCAACCTCCTGAGTGCTAATCTTGTGAGTTTGGGGGCAACGTTGCAGACGCCTGGGTGAACTCTTGGGCTCTTGAGCATCTTGTTTATTTATCTAGAACGGTTATGGGCCACTTCATATTCCAGAAAGATCTCAAAAGTGGCATGCAAGATAAAAATACAAAATCATGCGCAGTCTTAAATATATTGAAAAACGGGTCCAACAAAATTGCACTATGGTGTGGCTCTCGTAGCTGTAATCATCCTTCTGGAAATGCCCGGGTAAGCATAAAAGTTTGAAGCAGGTAGAAGCACAAAATTGTCGGCGTCTGTCTGATAACGTGATGAAGTGCATTCCACAAAGTAGGGGCTGTAAGAGCAAAAGCTCCACTCTGTTATTGAGAATCATTGCCGCATATAGTGATCAGCGTCGGTGGTGTTTCCATGATACTATTGCACATCATAATTATTTACCTAGACTAATAACTTATTTATTAGTCTGGAGAGATCGAAAACATGAGCCTGGGGCGAATGATACACAGCAGCGAAGCGGCTGGAGTCTCCACTCCGGGAGCTCGCACATCCGCACTAAGCCCATGGTGAAGCTTGGAGTGACGTGTTGCGATATATACACAAATGGATCAGTCTGATAAATTGTGCTGATAGTTTTCTGAGGTTTAGCTAAGTTGGTGTTGTCGCCTCTGAGGATCTCGTTTTATCCGGGAAGCACTGAAACCTGCACAACGGCTCATCTGCAAAGATTATTGTTTATTTAAACACACCCGGACCCCTCGTCTTCTCACCTGCAATTTTCCTCCATCGCTACTGCCCTTTTGCAAGTTAATACTAAACAAGACAACTGTACTGTTAGGAGGTTAGCTGGCAGCAGGAGTGAGCCAAGCTGAAAACCAGACAGGTGGGCTAGTCAACCAGCTGGCCAACCACTTAATTCCAGAACTTAAGCATCACATTTGATGATCACAGGAATTGTGGCTTTTTTCCGGGGGGAGTGGGGAACGATTCTTCTAAGCCCAAACACTTCCAGAGTAAAATGACAGGGCAAACTAAGCTCCCTCCAGCTGTTGGTTATCCCTCCGCAGTGGTAAGGGATGGGGGAGCGGGAGAGTTGTTTGTGAAGCTGGAGGAAGTGGCTGGGAACGGGGTTTAATTAAACATATGCCATCTTGGTTTTGTGAGCATTCATTGCAAATACTCACAGAACTCCCTTAGGGTAGTTTTGCCCCATGTATTTACAAAGGGTTGTATCTAATGCCGTGTATACACAGTCCCACTCGCACAACGGACTTCCCTTCCATTTCTCTCCGCATGCGCCATCAAAATCTTCTCCGTAGGGTCCTCTGATCCTCTGGAGCATTGCGCACGGGGGCAGTAGGGGGAATTCCATTGCACAAGTGGAAGTCTGCTGCGCCAGCATTGGATAGGACCCAAAGAATTGAATACTGAAGAGAGCAGGGGGATGTTCACCAGTCCCTGTAAATATTCTCCAATGTTCTACGGACATGGTTTGTTGGCATGCCCAAGAGCTGGGAATTTACTGAACTACGGTAGGGGAAGCTTCTCAGGATTCTGTTGAGAAAATTGTAGACAGCACAAAGATTCCATGTTCCGTTTATGAGCGCACACCAGTATATTGTTTACATACTTGTAAATATGTGCCACAAGCATAGAAACAAGCCTCCTGTAAGGCTCTCAAAGGCCACGGAGGGTTTTGCCCACTAGCTTCACTGAAATCAGAGGTGGGGAAGATGTAACACTCCAGGTATTGCTAGACTGTAACTCCCTGACTGTTGATCATGCTGGTGCAACTCGTGGGAGTTGGAGTGCAACAAAATCTGGAAGGTGCCCCCATTGGCTACCCCTGATTTTTTCAGCCGGAACTCAGTTCTGGCACCTCTCAGATGGGTTCCAGCACCTTTCAGGTGGGTGCTATTGCTATTCTTAGAGAATGAGGTGGGCGTTCATGGTGAATTCAAGCACCTATTTTTCTAGAAAAATAGCACTGCATATACCCAATCCTATTTACCCAAGCCGTTGCTCCCAGCAGCCACCCCAACTGGGTCTTAAAACGGGCAGGACTTCTCTCTGATAATTCAGCAGCATTAGCTGTTTGTGAGTATTCAGTTCTCGAAATGTCATATGTGTTGATTCCTGAGCTTAAAGCTGTTGGTTTTCATTATTATCTGAAGCCCCTTCCCACCCACTTTCAAAAGGGGCCAATATTCTGTTTAGCTATAGCAGGGTTTCCCAAACTTTGGGTCTCCAGCCGTTTTTGGACTACAACTCCCATCACCCCTAGCTAGCAGGACCAGTGATCAGAAGTGATGGAAATTGTAGTCCAGAAAGAGCTGGGGACCCAAGTTTGGGGAAACCTGAGCTGCAGAAAGGATTGTGAGCATGGTGCCCTCCTGATCTGGGCACCAGCAGAATATGGACATAAGGTTACAAAGGGAGCTTACTATCTGAACAGCTCGGAAGAGGTCAGGCTAAGCAGTAGAAGGAGGCTGAGAAAAGAGATGTCACTACGACAGAAGTCGGAGGAAGAGTGGATAGAGGATACTGTGGCACCGTAGGGTGGCACTTCTCATTTAGTAGCACACATCTCTGTGAAATCCTTGACCTCTGTTTTGTTCTCTCACCATTCGTATCTGCTCCCAAAGTGCATAAATCCCTTTGCAGAAACTTCATTAAGTGCAGAGTTGAGGCATAAGGCTGGCACAATTTCAGTGCCAGAAGGCATATTGATGTAAAGTTAAGCAGTTCCTTCTCTCAGTAGCCCTCTCTCTAAAGCAGAGCTGAAGTTAGAGTAGCATGTGCAGTATTTCTTCAGCCCTTTATTTTTCTTGACAAAATAGATTTTAGAATAGCACACCTACTACGTTGACCCTTTCGCTCTGTAGAGTTTAGTATATGCTGTCGCAGTTATTACTAGGTAGCCTAGGAGCTCTTCCTTATGTCTTGGGGTACGGTGGTGGAAGCAGGTTCAAAATACACTCATGCTTAAAAGCATTTATTCAGTAAGGTAGAGGGGGAATTAGGGCACCAAACCTTTGCCCCTTTTCCCACAAAACCATATGTCTCATTACAAAAGTTAAAGCATTTATGGGATTGCTCTGGCTTTCACCCGCGCACCTGCGATTTTAGCTGCCATCCTCATTTAACCTGACGATAGAAGCTGAAAACCTGACTGTTTTTCCATCCCAGATTCTGGCTACTTCATAATGCTTAGACTTATCCCATCCTGCTTTTCTGTGTCAGAAGTGATTGAAATGGCTGTAAAAGGCTGTAGTTGTGGAAACTGAATTTTAAGAGAAGAGAATATTAAAAGCCCTCGCCTGTGATGTTAGGAGGAAGGTATGTGTTTGCCGGTCAGTTCCTGGGTAGAAACGGGCAACGATGAAATGAAATGCGGAAGCAGACGCGTCCTTAGAGCACAACATTGAATATGCTTATAAATTATCGGAGAGTTCTGTCGGGGTGGACCACGAGGTCCCTCTGAGCTCTGCAAATCCCTTTCCCTTTACAGAACTCAACAGACTTTCGTGTGGCAAAGCTTACATTACCTTAACCTGAACTGGGGGAAGTGGTTGGTGATGAATTGCCTTTCTGTGTTTTTCCTTCATTGTCAGCACAAATCCTTGTTTAATAAAAGATTTGGCTTGAAGGAAATTTTAATTAATTACAGGTTCAGTAAATCCTGAGTAGGACTCTGCTGTGCTGTGTCTACAGTGAATGGCCTTCATGTGCCTTGTGTTTTTACTCCTGTTCTCTCTGCTGCCTGACAGTGTGATTTATGGCTGTTGTTTTCTACCACTACACTGTTTGCCCTCTAGGAGGGATTGGTCTCCTGAGCCCCCATAATAACAGGAGCACTTTCACAAAACATCTTTTAATGACAACATTGCAGCAGCCTTCTGTAAGTCAGGCTAATTGCAGACATACCCTATTAATTGCAAAATCTAGGAGAGGTTACATATTTTACAAGCTTTTAATTTGAAATCGCCTGAGATGATTTGTCTTAAGTGTTTGAGTAGAGATGCCTGTAGTATTCTGCAGTAGACCATTGCTAGGAAATAGATGCAATGAATGTGGGTTGCAGTGGGGGCTTAAAAATATCAGATTTTACTATAGGGGCAAGAGAGTCTGTTTTTTACCTCCATAGTAAACTGAATCTGTTAATTTCATTAACTAGTGATCATACTTTCTCCTTTTGGAAATACGATTCCTTACAAAAATAGACATTTGGCATTAGAGATCTTTTCTAGCAGTATCAGATTCAATAACTATTCATGAAAATTAGTCTCCTTTTAAAATAAATATGTTTTTTTCCCTTTCTGTTAAAAAAGACATTTTAAAAAAAATTCAAGTCCTAGTCTGTTCGTTCCTCAGGAAGTTGTAAGGGGAGGAAGAGGTGATAGTGACACAGCAGCAAATCAAGTTCATGTAGCACAGCAAGTTCTCAATTTGCTGCTCTGCTATATTCATAGTGCATTATCAGTGCTTTGTAGTTCCCTACTGTGACTCGCTCAACTCTATGTGAGGCAGCCCAGTATCCTTACTTGCATACATGATGCTGAAGCCAAAGTGGATGTCTTAACTTACAGTGTTCATGCTTTTTTTAGGGAAGGGGAAGAGATACAATTGAATTTGTTAGTCCCTTAACTCATACCTTGGAATGGAGGATTGTTCCGTCCTAGATTTGGCTTTTCGGGACTTGCTATTTCCCCCCTTGCAATATTGGAATGAAAGGTGTTTATTTTAATGCGCGCTTAAGTCCTGTGACAAGTGTTGCCGTGTTAGTGCTGCCCGGGACATTGATTATCCAAAACAGTACTTTCTTTACGGACTCTCATAGTTTCAGTAATTGACAACGTATTGTTCTCTTTGCAGGTAAAACTGATTCAGGAAATTGTAGCATGTAGCGGCATTCTGATAACCTCCTACTCTTACATTCGCATGCTGCAAGATAACATCCATGGTTACGGTTGGCATTATGTGATTCTAGATGAGGGACATAAAATTCGTAATCCAAATGCTGCAGTCACGGTTGCTTGCAAACAGGTAAGAATCTTTAAAAACAAAAGCATTTCGATTGGTTAAATTAGTGATAAACTTGGTCTTAACGCTTACTTCATTCTTAGGCCAGGTTTCAAAGACTTCGTGTCATGTGTAAAATTTTGGTGGCATTTGCACTTTTCTGTATTTTATTATGACATGAATATGCTTCTCCCTGCATTTACAGTTCTGCACTCCTCATCGAATTATCTTGTCTGGATCACCTATGCAAAACAACCTAAAAGAGCTGTGGTCCCTCTTTGACTTCGTATTTCCAGGAAAACTAGGGACACTTCCTGTCTTCATGGAGCAATTTTCTGTTCCAATAACCATGGGAGGCTATTCCAATGCCTCTCCAGTTCAGGTAAAGGATGCAATTCTCAGAAAATTGAAAAAAGCTCAGTTCCAGGCCATGTTCTAACACAGTCACTAAATGTCCTATCATCTCCTGGACAGTTAACATTAAAAAAATAAAACAGTAAACAACAAAGAGAATCCTAAAAATTGTGCAGAATAAAACCACAATTCAAAACTAATTAAATAAGACTTAGATCTCTGGCTAATGAAGACATGCTATTACTACTATTATTTACTGGATTCCTAATTGTGCCCTTCATCAGACAATCCAAGGCTGAGTTTACATATAACAGACAGTAAAAACTATTGCATACAAAATACAAAAATCAGGTAAAAATTAACAAAAGTGCTAATAGGCACTGAAAAAAAATTGAGCCATCATAACATAGTGACCGAATGTCTTACCTCACCCCCTGCCAAAGAGCTGAGCAAACAGGTACATCTTCATTTGCTACTGAAAAGGTAAATGATGTTTGTGCCAGATGAACCCCAGAAGGATGCATTTCAGAGATGGTGCCACCATCAAGAAGACCCCGTCCCACACTGCTGTCCCACAAACGTCATCTGATGATAGAACCACAGGAGGCCTCCCCTATTGATCTAAATGAATGAGCAGGATGATATGGAGAGCCTTGTTAATTCCAAACTGACCACATAAGGCCATCCACCATTTAGTACATGAAGAAATGCAAGAGAATTACTGGATAGCATAATATACAAAGACAGATTCTATAGCAGGGTATCTCAGGCGCAGTGACCAGTATCCAAGCAGTCACTCACGTGCTTCGAATGAGAGGTTTTGCCAAGGGAGCGTTGAACTTTTACTCTTAACAGCAAGGCCCACGTCACTTGACAGACTGTTTCTGAACACAGTTTGTAGTCACACCAAAGTCCTTTTTAAAATGATGTCCGGTGGAGTTAATATTCTTTTTCCCTCTGAGGGCAGGAGAGGGGTTTTCAACTTCACTTAGCTTCATTTAGTTTCCCAGATTGCTCACAGTTATAGACTTGATTGGTAGACTCACCGAGTCTGCTGATTTTGAATTCTTTAGACACTTCCCCACCCCCAATCCCTCTTTGTAAACTCACATATTACTACCAGGCCATTTTTTGTTGTTTTCCGGATGTCCACGCTCCTCACTTTTAACTCACAAACTTGTGTAATTTGTCCTACCTTGGGCTTCTCCTGAATATAGTGAACTTCCTACCTTATTTTTGGGTGACCCTATTTTGATTCCAGATTGATAGGCACCTAGCTGCACTGCTGGAGGGAATGGCACATGTTCAAGTGGGGTTTGCTGCAATTCTATGTAGTTTTTATTTTTATGTCAAATAAATTCCACCAACTAATTTTAAAGTGAATGGAGAATGATTTGCTGTTAGTTTAGATCTGTGGTTCCCAACCCCCACAGGGGGGCAATTTGATTTTTAAGGTGGGCAACAGTTAATGGCCTTTTAGGCTTCCTCCACGTGAATAGGAGTTCACTTTTTGAATAAGAAGAATTATATGTCGGGTGGGGGTGGATCAGGAATTTAGAGATGCTTAGGTGGGGCATGGCCCAAAGAAGATTGGGAACCACTGGTTTAGATGCAGCTGGTGCCCGTATGAGTTTTTTTTAATGTACATGCAAACAGACATAATAAGTGTGCAAAATATCAGCATGATAACCTACCCAAAGTTTTCACTAACCGGTGAAGTATTTTATCTTCCAAAGTACATTAAAATAAATATTCAGTGTGGTGCACTGGTTGGAGTGTTGGACAGACCAGGAGAACCAGGGTTAGGATTTCTAGTCAATCATGAAACCTAACAGGTAACCTTTGGGTCAGCGTACTTTGAGCCTATCCCACGTCACAGTTGTTTTTGCGAGAGGATAAAATGGAATAAGCCCCATGCGTATAATGCTGAGCTCTTAGTGAGAAGTTTGGGGTAAAATGTGGAAAGCAAGTATGATTAATAAACTAGCATTGGTGTTGTTTTTTCCCTTTCAAAAGGTAAAAACAGCATATAAGTGTGCTTGCATTTTACGGGACACAATTAATCCCTATCTGTTGCGGAGAATGAAGGCGGATGTTAAAATGAGCCTGTCACTACCGGAGAAAAATGAGCAGGTATTGTTTGACTCTATATTTTGCACCCCAAAATTTTGCACCCCAAAATTTATCTGAGAGGCTACAAAATTATCTGAGAGCCAGTGTGGTGTAGTGGTTAAGAGTGGTAGTCTCGTAATCTGGGGAACCGGGCTCGTGTCTTCTTTGAAGTCTCTCAGCCCCACTCACCTCACAGAGTGTTTGTTGTGGGGGAGGAAGGGAAAGGAGAATGTTAGCCGCTTTGAGACTCCTTAAAGGGAGTGAAAGGCAGGATACCAAATCCAAACTCTTCTTCTTCTTCTACATGTGAAGTTATGCTTTGAGCAGCTCACTGCGTGTCTACGGTGGGAAGTCACAAGGATAACCATAGCACTTTGCCCCACTTGCTTTCCTGTTGCTTCCTCGTGACACACTTCCACCAATTTAATGAATTCTGACCTCGTAGTAAAAGATTTGGGTTGTATCCAATTCTGCTGTTCCATTCATGCAACAGACGTCTGCTTCTAATGATGGAACTTCCCCTTACTCCGCCCTGAGAAAGGTTGGGTTTTTTTTTGCAATATTTCTTTTCTTGTCGGATCTAAGCTTATTTGGGTACTTTAAGAACACGAAATAAATTATGTATAACTGTGTTGCAGCACAGGTTGATATTAGCAAGCAGGAGAACTCTGCAGAACTCACAATATAGAATTAAGTAAGATTTCCCCTTGAGGACCAAGGGTGAGGAAATTCTATGTTGTGGCTGCGACTCGTGACTTTTAACAGATGATGAGCCCAGGGGCTGGGAAAGTCTCCACAGAGATGCTAATCCCTGCGATAAAAGCAAAACCTATGCCAGTTCATAGATCGTGAGCTCCTTGGGGAAAGATCTGTATTTTTCATTCATGTTAAGTATAGCTCCATACTTTCTACATGTAATAATGTCTGCAGTGTCTCTTTTTTAGGTACTGTTTTGCCGTTTGACAGATGAGCAGCACCAAGTATACAAAACGTTTATTGATTCCAAAGAGGTTTATCAGATTCTCAATGGAGACATGCAGGTCAGTGCAAAGAAAGAAATTGGCATGCCAAATAGCACGAAAGGAAAAAGTTCATCTTTTCCATTTGCTGTCAAACAGCTTAGCAGAGCACTAGCAGAGAGTTAGTTAGTAGGCATGAGAAGTTAACAGAACTGACAACATAGCATATTTACCTTTATAGTTTTCAAAGAAGTCCTTTAAATTCAGGCTGGCCAACGTCTTCAGTCTAAGGAGCTGCATTTTCATATACCGTATTTTTTGCACCATAACACTCACTTTTTTCCTCCTAGAAAGTAAGGGGAAATATCTGTGCGTGTTATGGAGGGAATGCCTACGGGTGGCATGCCTACGGATTTTCCTCCTCTAAAAACTACGTGCGTGTTATGGTCGGGTGTGTGTTATAGAGCGAAAAATACGGTAGTTCATATGTCTCAGTGAAAACAAGCACTGTAGGAAGAGAAGCAGAGGAGTGGTGGTGGAATAGAAAGAGGGAATTCTGCAGCCAGTATCTTTGGCAGTGCATAACTTATTTGGCATGATAATTATAGTAGTTTTATTGAGGGAGAAATAAACGTCTCTCGTAGGCCTGGGAGATGTATCAGTGCATTGCCTGAAACCGGTTTAAGGTTAAAATTGTGAGAGCGATTTCAGAATTTCCAATCCGGCAATGTATCGCAAGTCCCTGCTTGTGCCAGCAGCGTTGCGCACTTCAATAGGCCACCTGATGTTGCCCACTCGCCCTCTGCGGCGCAGCTACCAGCCTTGGGAGCGGTGCTTGCCTGCCAGCCTGCCAGCACCTTCGTATCTTTTTCTGGCTGTGCGAGCACTGGCAGGCTGCCTCCTCCCTCCCTGGCACTGGCAGGCTGCCTCCTATATATATATATATATATATATATATATATATATATATAAATTTTTATTAGTTTTTTTTTAAACATATCATTTTCAACAGTAATTAAACATACTTTTACATCTTATTCAATTTTTTGACTTCCATCAATCCTGTCTGAAAATTTTCCAATCTAATCTCTCTGTATGCATTTCTTATCTTCCCTATTACATTTCAAACTCATAACCAATATCTCTATCTTTTTCTACTTTGTAACACTTCGTACATTTCTCCTTACAAAACTTCTTGTAGTCTTACTAGTGTAATATGTTGATTACAGTTGCTCTTCAAATAATTCATATACTTCTTCCAATCTTCTGTAAATCTCTGGTCCCGCAGGTTTCGAATCCTTCCTGTCATTTTGTCCAATTCTGCATAGTCCATTAATTTCGTCTGCCATTCTTCTTTCGTTGGAATTTCTTCTTGTTTCCATTTCGCCTCCTCCCTCCTTGCACCAAGCAGAATGGTGGCTCCCGGTAGCCACTTCTTAAGCAGCAAGCGGCTGTCGTCAGGACGAGCCACAGCTGGCGGTTCCAGGGAGATGGGCAGCTCCGCAGTGCCATGCCATGCGGTACTCGGGCTTATAGGCTCCGCCCCGGGCAGCACTGCCTGCCCAGGCTCACCAGGAAGAAGCAGAAGTTGCGCACAGTGACACCAATCGTCTGCGTGGCCAGCAGCTGCCTTTTCCCTCCCCACTTTCTTTCCTCCTCCCAGATACCATAATATACTGCAAAGTTTAGCTGGTGATATGTTACGATATAAGAGCCCTAGTCTCTTGTTGAAAACCTTCTTCCAGTAGCCGCTTGCTTTCATTCTGATCTGTTATGCCGGCTTAAATGTGGAAGGACCGGAACATGCAGAGAATAAACATTTGGCTGTCCTCCGTGTAGATTTTCTCCGGATTGGTGGCCCTGAGAAAGATCTGCAACCACCCAGACCTCTTTTCCGGTGGTCCTAAAATTTTGAAGGGTGTCCCTGATGAAGAATTGAAGGAAGAAGACCATTTTGGATTCTGGAAGCGTTCCGGGAAAATGATAGTTGTAGAGTCTCTGCTGAAAATATGGCACAAGCAAGGCCACAGAGTACTTCTCTTTACTCAGTCTCGGCAGGTAAGTCACACTTTGCATCTTCTCTGTCTCAAGTCCACAGCTGTGACCTGATGCTGCACGCTAGAAAGTTGCCTGCAGAATCCTCCCAGAAAGCAATGTTTTAAAGCCAAGGGGCAAGGTTCTGTGTAGTTCTGATCGACATGCCTGGGGAATATGCACATGTGTTTTTGTTTATATTTTCAAATAAATACATGATAACAATACAGTGGTACCTCGGTTTACAAACTTAATCTGTTCCGAAAGTCCGTTCTTAAACCAAAGCTGTTCTTAAACCAAGGCGTGCTTTCCCTAATGAGGCCTTCCATTTGTAAACCGAGGTAAAGTTCACTAACCAGAACACTACTTCCGGTTTTGCGGAGTTCGTATACCGAATAGTTCGTAAACAGGGCTGTTCTTAAACCGAGGTGTGGTTGGCGCTGTGGTCTAAACCACAGAGCCTAGGGCTTGCCGATCAGAAGGTCGGTGGTTCGAATCCCTGCGACGGGGTGAGCTCCCGTTGCTCGGTCCCTGCTCCTGCCAACCTAGCAGTTCGAAAGCACGTCAAAGTGCAAGTAGCTATATAGGTACTGCTCCAGCGGGAAGGTAAATGGTGTTCTGGTTCACCAGAAGCAGCTTAGCCATGCTGGCCACATGACCCGGAAGCTGCGGACAAACACCAGCACCCTCGGCCAATAAAGCGAGATGAGCGCCGCAACACCAGAGTCATCTGCGACTGAACTTAACGGTCAGGGGTCCTTTGCCTCTGTATTGAGAAAAAGAAAAATAACAGGGTACAATTTAGCAAGATACGTAGTAGATAAATAGATGCAAATTTCCAACATATAACCACCTAAAGAATTCAGATAGAAATGCATATGCCAATTGCTTCCAATACATAAAATATTTCAGAATCTTCTCAACAATGTGTGTGGATTTACATTTTCTTGCACTTCTTACACCTGTTTTCAATGATGAAAACTAGATTTTTCAACAAAGAGATAAGATTGCCTTGCTTTTATGACTCTGTTGATCAGTTTTACCATTCCAGTGTTGGAGTCCTTCTCCCCCCCCCCCCAAATTATAACAGATAGTTGCTCATGCCACTGTCAATATATATTGAACAATTTCCCTGACATCCGGTAGCACCAAGCCTTTAATATACCTAAATAAGATAGCTATTAATTGAATTAACTGGAGTTTTTTAAAAAAATAGGAGTAAAAGTGAATCTTCCATTTTTAAGTCCATTAGATAATAAATAAAATCAGGTTTTGGTACTTTAGTAAGAGCATTCCCTACTCTAATTTCAGTTGCACATACCAACTTTGGTTAGACCTGAATTTTAATTTGTGGCTGAAAAATGTCCTACTTAGAACCTGCTGTGAATTTATTAGGCATGAGTAGGCAGAAACAATTTCTGTACGAGAGAAGTGTTTAAATGTATTTTTCTGTTTTTATATTGTAAACCACCTTGTGATCTTCGGACGAGTGGCAGTATAGACATTTAATAAGTCATCATCATCATGATTTCTGCCATTAGTTTTTATGCTGTACAGTGACTGTTTTGATTTTGTTTTCCTGCTCAGCATAAATCTTTTCCCCCTCAATTTTTCAGATGCTGCACATTCTCGAAGCGTTTCTAAAGCAGAGAAGCTATTCCTATCTCAAGATGGATGGCACCACAACAGTGGCATCAAGGCAACCCCTTATTACAAGATTTAATGAGGTAAGAAACTCTGGATCAGCCAGGTGGTCTCTGATCTTCATTGGAGAAGCATGGGATTTAGCATTCAGTTTGGTAAGGGTTAACAAGAAGAGCAAGACTCAGATGAAAAGACTTGTTGGAAACTTCTGGAACTATACACAGGTGCAACATTCCCAACATATTTTGAATGAGGGATTACTCAAAATAATAAAACATTTACCAGATTCCGATAATAACTATAATTATTGTTGTTGTTATTGTTATTGCTGTTGTTGCTGCTGCTGCTACATAACAGGAAAGGATGAGATTTGAAGATGCACCAATATTTAAAATTAAAGTTACAGTGGTACCTTGGTTCTCAAACAGCTTAGTTGTCGAACAAATCGGCTCCCAAACACTGCAAACCCAGAAGTGTTCCAGTTTGCGAACATTTTGCGGTAGCCAAACATCCACCGCGGCTTCCAATTGAGTGCAGGAAGCTCCTGCAGCCTATCAGATGCTGCGCCTTGGTTTGCAAACAGTTTCGGGAGTCAGACGGACTCCCGGAACGGATTAAGTTTGAGAACTACGGTACCACTGTACTGTGATTATTATTTATCACTTCCATAGCTCCTAAATAGTTTTTAAAACTGCATAAATTACCCACCCACCCTTTGAATTTCAAGCCTGGCAGGGTTTAAATTTATTTTCACAGTTCAGACGGAACAATGAATAAAGGTTTTCCTTCAACCTATTCTGTTCACTTCTAATGGTTGCCATGTCACAACAATTATTTGATCAGCTTATAATAATTCTTAGCACTTGAAGTTTGCAGATGTTTGGCTTTGCTCCTTCCAACGCACATGCAAATAACTATGTTTGTTATATGTGAATCACAGGCGTAAGTTAGTTTTAGCTTTATTTTAGTGGAATTTGTTCCCAAGTAAAAACGTTTAGGATTTTACAGCCTTGGGCAGCCAAGAAGCACGTCCACTGCATCCATAGGCTGGAAAGACCTGCAAACGCATTTTAAAACTTTTCCTAAATGTACCTTGTGGTGTATGTATTTACAGGACGAATCCTTATTTGTATTCCTACTTACCACTCGAGTCGGTGGGCTTGGTATTAACTTGACGGGTGCAGACAGAGTGATTATTTATGACCCCGACTGGAATCCCAGCACAGACACTCAGGTAGGTTTCATGGAAAAGAATATTAAATCTGAGATGTACAGTTCAACATCTGCTTTGAGCCAGGATGTCTTAACTTTGACCATTCAGAAGCATGCAAGGCTCAGGATGTTTAACTGCTGTGGCTTTCCAGTCTGCACATCCATGTTGAAGATGTTTTAGCCAAATGTGCTTAGAACCACTCACATCTCTTCCTTTAGAAAATGTAGCTGTGGGAATCCTGGTCTAGTTTTTAATCACAGTGCGGATGGAGCAGGATTTAATCCTCTCCCCCTGAACTATTTTCATGCCAAAAATTGGCTCTGTTACATGCTCTTCTTAGCACTTGAACTTTGCAGATGTTTGGCCTTGCTCCTTCGAGCAAGTTACATGCTATTTACCTTCTTGAGAAGGTTTGGGGTAGGAAGGCAGCAAAGTGGGAAGGATGAACACACCTTCCTCTGCAGTATTGATCTGAATTTGGGGTCACATGTCTGCTTCTTTTTCTAAAGGCGGCAATGCGGCTGCTTTTAAGCACATTAGTTAAGGTTTTTAATTAGGTCTGGCTCCCGGAATTTTGTGTCTGAAAATGCCGTTTGCAAAACACTTCTTTGTATTCTAGGCTCGCGAACGTGCTTGGAGAATAGGCCAAATGAGAGAAGTAACCGTGTACAGACTTCTTACTGCTGGTACTATCGAAGAAAAGATTTACCACAGGTGAGTGGCACACTCGCATTGGCTTGCTAGTGTTTCACCAGGTGCAGCTCTGAGGAACAGCATTTATTTGTATTTTGCCGTTTTCCCCCCCTGCTGTGAAACTTAGAGCAGTATACAAAGGGTTCTCAGGCAGCCTCCCATCCAGGCACTAACCAGGCTCAAACCTGCTTAGCTTCAGCCGTTTTGCTGCATCGTGTTCTTTTTCAGCCCATGCCGACAACATGTGCAACACGACAATGTGTGCAAGGAGAAATTCCAGCCCTGGATGGGGGGAGGGCTGGGGGAAAGGGGTATGTCCTGGCTTGTGTGTCACCATTTGTGCTAAGCAAGGAGCTCAGTGGCAGGACAGGGGCTACTTGGAAGTGCATGCTGCTTGTGTATATCTTGGTGAAGGCAGCTACTTGTTGTTGTTTAGTCGTTTAGTCGTGTCCGACTCTTCGTGACCCCATGGACCAGAGCACGCCAGGCACTGCCTCCCGCAGTTTGGTCAGACTCATGCTGGTAGCTTCAAGAACACTGTCCAACCATCTCGTCCTCTGTCGTCCCCTTCTCCTTGTGCCCTCCATCTTTCCCAACATCAGGGTCTTTTCCAGGGAGTCATCTCTTCTCATGAGGTGGCCAAAGTCTTGGAGCCTCAGCCTCAGGATCTGTCCTTCCAGTGAGCACTCAGGGCTGATTTCCTTCAGAATGGATAGGTTTGATCTTTTTTTGCAAGCCATGGGACTCTCAAGAGTCTCCTCCAGCAGCACCATAATTCAGAAGCATCAATTCTTCGACAATCAGCCTTCTTTATGGTCCAGCTCTCACTTCCATACATCACTACTGGGAAAACCATAGCTTTAACTATACAGACCTTTGTCGGCAAGGTGATGTCTCTGCTTTTTAAGATGCTGTCTAGTTTGTCATTGCTTTTCTCCCAAGAAACAGGCATCTTTTAATTTCATGGCTGCTGTCACCATGCAGCTACTACATAGCTAAAAAATGTTCAGTTTGGGGGCTGAACACAAAGCACATCACACACAAAGGAAGGTCTTTGGAGACATGGGAAAGAGAAAAGGTGTTCTTTCTTTCTTTCTTTCTTTCTTTCCTTCCTTCCTTCCTTCCTTCCTTCCTTCCTTCCTTCAAAACCACCCCACCCTATCCCAGAATGGATCAACACTTTAAAGGCTGGCAGTATAGCGTAACAAAAGTTTGCATGCCCTGGTTCTGTAAATACTGACACAAACCTGTATCCGTGGATCTAGCTTCTTCCATCCAACAAGCCTTAGGAAGCTTTTTCTGACAGTAGAGAATAACATTTGGTAGCCACTTCCAGTAGGGTGGGAGCTGCTTGTGCCTGAAATAAGCGATTTAGACATAATGAGCAAAACCATGGTTCAGTAACTGGGAATCTGCTGTAAGTTTGTATGGAGCATAGATCACTTCCAAGCCAGAATTAGGGACCTATCTCAAACCGTAATATCTGCGAATTATGCTCAGTAACAACCATAGTTTGTAAATAGAAATATCTAAATATAATTATCATGAACCTGGAAGCTGAGGAGGAGCCGTATTGCTGTTGTTGGCATCCCTCAGTGGAGTGCACCTCCGGGGGTGAAGTCAAACTGCTACGTTAGCAGTATGGAGGTCCTGGGCTGCCCAGATGACAGGACCCCTCTCTTGGCCTCACTGATGTGGTGTAAAGAAAAGAAAAGCAATACGTTCTGCAGCATATTCCTGGTGTCCTATCCATGGTTTGGCTGTGACATCTAAGCCAGGCCAGTGCACAGCCACAGCTTGTAGGTTTGACACAGGTGACATAGGTTCAAGTCCCGAAGAAGTTGTTTTTATTCTAACCAGCCTCTAAGCTTTTAAGATCATCACACTTGCCCTCTGTAGGCTGGGGTTTGCTTGGTTCTTTTATTATGAGATGCTGGGATGCAAATGTACCAGAAAAATGTTGGCTCTGTCTCAGGAAGCCCCTGAAGCAGGTACTATGTGGGTGACTAGTGTGAATTTAGTGTTAAAAGTTATCATTGATAGGCTTAATGACGAGCATAGTTCCCCTCAGTTCCATATTCTCTTTTTTTTTTATTATAATTTTTTAATTGGTTTTTCACATTTTATAAAGACATAACACACACGTAAAAGACAAAGACAAAAAACATGTATAATTTCAGAAATCTTACTTTCTTAACTTTGGTCCTTGACTTCCCCACCCCCTTCATACATCCCAATTCCCATAATTATGTCAGCAAGTTATTATTTTACCTCCTTACCCTGTTAATATTACATCTTTTGTAGAAGATTAAATTCTATCCTAAGTTGGGCTCAGATTCCCTTCCATCGATTTCCCATTTTTTATTAAGCATCAATCATATTGACTAGACCCAAAAATCGTAAGTGTTTTTAAAATTCTATTTTCCCCCTCCCATCCCCGGTTCGTCCCTTCCCAAGTACATTTCTACAATAACAGTTCTTAGCCTGGATTTCTCACATCCGAGGCCTTCAAGTCTCTTTCAGTCCCTCTCCGCCGGTTTTGTTGGTAGTCCTTTATGTTGGTCTTCGGATCTCGAAGGAGTTCTGTCCCAGTCAAGCCAAATTTTCTTCCCACAAGAAAACTTAGAGACAACTGCTGCAAAAGTTCCACCAGTCCTTCATATTCAGAATGGAGGCCCCCATCATATTTCTTCTTTCTTTTAAGTTCTTGAATTCCAAGTACTCCAGGGGCCTCCTCCTTCATCTTTCGTGATCTTTTGCAGATTTGTAATCCATGTAATCCAAGGGTCTTCTTGTTTATAATCCACATGTGTAGGCTTCTGGTTGGTACTTTCCATCTGTGCTTTCTCCTTTCCTTGTTTAGTCTCCTTCAATTCTTGAGATATCTGTTCCGGTTCAGCTGCAGATTTTTTCTCATTCAGATCCTCAATACATTCAGCAGAGCTGCTTATTCCAGAAGTCAAGGTCGTAAGTTGTTTATTCATAGCCAGACTCTGCTCTTGTAAAGTTCCCACAAAGTAACACGTTCTTTCTATTTCAGCTAGTAAATTTCCATCCGCAGCCATTGTAATGTCTCAGAATTCCCCCTAGAGGGAATCTGGTTACTTAGTAATCTTTTCCCAACAGTCCTTTGCCTCGTTCTTTGTTTCTTTGTTTCGAACCACTTTAATTCAATTGTATCACATTTAGTCCAGGGAGATCTTAAATAACACGCTTTTTACTTTAAATTGTCCGTTTGACAGCTTTAACAGCTGTCAAACTCCTTTCCTCTTCAACAGGCTCAAAGGCAGGACGCTCCCGGGCCCGGAAGGGGGTTACACACCACAAGAGAAAACTTCTAACTTCCACTCTTACACTCCAGCTCAAAACTTCTTTTATCAAATCGTGAAAGTTAATGTCTTTTTAACTCACCCCAAAGGGGTAGACTCTCCAACTTAGTTCTCCTGCTATTGCTTTAAATCGTCTGCAGAAGGGGGGGGTGCGGACTTCCCTTTAACACATCCCCCGGTCGTATCAAATTCACAGATAGATATTTTAAAGTCCGAATTCCAATCTACTCACGGGTTGCTTCTTTCGAGTTCCAATTTAAGGAAAAAGTCAGTGCTCTTCAGCCATGGCACACGGCTCCGCTCCGCTGGGGTAGCGGTCTACTCCCAGCACCACGCCGCTTCCGTACTCCTCTCCGTAGCCTTTAAAAAGGCTCTTCGTGGGTCGGGGGCGCTAAGGTGCCCACCGAGTCACCAGGTCCGCAGGCATCCGCGCCTGCGGTTTTTGAGGGTCTCCGCGTCGCCGTCGCAGCAAGACCCGTCCCCAGCGGAGCCGATTCCCTCCGGAGCTCGGAGAGAATCCGCCATTAGCTGTTCGCACCAACCCGGAAGTCGTCAGTTCCATATTCTCACTCCCCTCGAGTTTTTCTTTTAATATTACCATCTCTCTTGCCTTCAGGAACTGAAGCAACTTTTATTATAGCTTGTTGGACCCTCTGCCAAACTTCTTACTGGATTTAGCTTTCTTTCCCCCTTCCTCCTCTTTTATGGGGATTTCCTTTTTGTTTGTATTTTCTGCTGTGGATAAACAGTGTCTCGTGGGATATATCTTTGGTGTGTCATGAGATTAAGTGCAGTAAACTCATATGGTTAGCAGTTTGTGGATTGCTTAAAAATTACCAAAACAACTCGGAGCATCCGTGTGAAGCATGCTGCACTGTGTAATTTTTCCCTGGGGTAAAATTTGCATTGTTAAGTTTAGTGCTTTGAACAGAAAGCATATCTTAACACAAAATTCTGTGTTTTTTTCCAGACAAATCTTCAAACAGTTTCTAACGAATAGAGTGTTGAAAGATCCGAAGCAGAGGCGCTTCTTCAAATCAAACGACCTCTATGAACTCTTTACGTTGAGCAGCCCAGATGGGGCACAAGGGACCGAAACCAGCGCTATATTTGCAGGTATGTCTGATGAGGAATTGTAGCATCTGCACAACAAAACATGGGATAGCAACAGCCAGTGATTTTCTGTGTAATTCGTTTCAGGCACTGGCTCTGATGTTCCAACACCCAAATGGCAGTTAAAGCATAAAGCTGTGAACTTACCTGATGCTTCTAAGCGACGGCACCGCCTTGCAGGGCGTACATCGCCCACAAGCACCAGGCTTCCAGATTCCTTCTCGGAAAGAGAGCGTGTAAGTTCACCTACTACAGCAGCAGAACCAGATGAAACAGTCAAGCGCAGCACAGAAGAGTCTCCTTGGATTTGCAGTCCTCCCAAAAGCAATGCTCGGATGACGGCAGCTGCTCCTACAGATCCATTGAGCGGAGTGGAAGAGAAACCTTTAGGATCAGGTGATGAGGGAGCGCAGTTGGAGAAGAAAGAAGCGCCCGAGAACATGGGATGTTTGGATTCCTTTCCCGTTGGTGATACAAGCGTATTTGTTGAAAGTCGGCGTGATCTCGTACATGAGAAAAATAGCCATTGCCAGGCGCAGGATGGGAATGAGGAACCGGAGAATAATTGCAGCAAGCACACCTCAAAAACGAAACATCACAAGCACAGGCCACGGAAGCGGGAACGTTCTCGGGATGCCAGATTTGAGGGTCAGCGGATTCCTCACCTTGTGAAGCAGAGAAAGTACCGAAAGGAGGACAGCGAGGAAGGGAAGCATCCCAAGAAAGTCGAGGATTATGTTTTGGAGAAGCTTTTCAAAAAATCAGGTAACTCTCTCCTTGTGCAGTATTTAGCCTGGCACAAGCCCAGAAGGCCCATTGCGGATGGCAGCGTGTGCCACCTCTGCTAAAACATCTGCACTGCCAGATGTTACCAGCGAGGTTCGAGGTTCTTGTATTTGTATATAGACAAAGCCCTGAACAACGTGGGCCCAGGATACTTTAAGAACCCACTGAGATTAGAAGTCACCCCAGAACTGGCCCTACTAAACATCTTCCAAGACAATAATGCCCACTCACAACACAAAGAACTCATAATCCACCTACTTTCAGCATCCAGAAGCATCATAGCCAGACACTGGAACGACCTGTCAGGAGTAAGCATGGACCAATGGTATCAAATAGTATGGGAAACAGCCTTATTAGAAAAACTAATCAACAAACTGAAACTGACATGGGGACCTAGTATGGTTACCCTTTATCACATACACAGCCCAACAAGACAACAAGAATCCGCCAACAGCATACAAATCAATCTGGCTAACCTGATCCAAACACACACACTCACACACAAAAACAAATTCCACTGCAGCCAATCAACACTACCTCTCAGATATTCATTATCTGTTAATTAGATGCTTTGGATCAAGGCTGGCGTGGTAATTACTAGGATGTTATTTCATCTACCCTCTCTTACATATTTATCACCCCATGACAAATAGTCTAGGTAGAAATCATTTGGTAATATTTGGGGAGTTTCAGGGACCTTCCATGCTAGGCTAGGGTCACTGAGCAAAAGTTTTTCTTCCCGTAAAAGAGATACGGGAAATCTTCAGCAAAGTTGTTTAGTTGTTGTACTTATCTCTTCTGTTTTGTTAATCGTGGTATTGTAGAGTGCTAATCTTTAGCACTTAGAGCTGTTGTTTTAGATTGAAAAATGTCTCAAGGATTACTGTAAGCTTAGTCCTGTGGCTGCACCAGAAAGAAATTCATGGGAGTGCACAGAAGGGGCAAAGTATATTTCTAAGTGGGCTAAAGAGAGAAATTGCAGCATATGTTAATGACAGAGGTTCAGAAATGGGGGGCAAATGGTGGGGCAAGAGCTCCTTGTTTGTTTGTTTCCCCCCCAAAAAAAATTTATTAGTTTTCACAATATTATAAACAAACAAACACACAAGACAAACATAAATCATAGCCTTATTGAAAATTACACTTATTGACTTTGTTAGGTGACTTCCTCGCTTCCCCTTGATTGAATTTCATTGCATGTCCTTTTAACGGTTTTCCAAATCCCAATTCTTATGAAATTTAGCTTAAACATTTACATCTTTAAATCTTCACCTTATGCAATTAAACATATTAATTCATCACTTAACATAAATAAAATCCTAAGCCAATTAAGTATCTGCAAGCTATTTTCAGTTAATTTAACTTAAGAAATGTAACTAGATAATCATTAAATTTATTCCACTCTTCCTGATACTCCTCCTCCTTCTGGTCGCGGACTCTTCCGGTTAGGTCGGCTAGTTCTGAAAAATCCATCATCTTCATCTGCCATTCTTCTATTGTTGGTAATTCTTTGGTTTTCCACTTTTTAGCTAACAAAATACAAGCAGCAGTTGTAGCATACAAAAATAATTTAACATCTTTCTTGGGCAATTCCAAACCTGTTATTCCAAGAAGAAAGGCGTCTGGTTTCTTTATAAATGTGTATTTCAACATTTTTTTCAATTCATTATAAATCTTTTCCCTTGTTTGGGGGGCTTGCTCCCTGCCCCCCTGGCACCACCTATGCCTAAGCCCCTCCATTGGTCTTGCAAAATGTGCTTTCTGTTTTTTAAAGCAAGCCATGTTCCTCCTTTCTCCCAGGAATACACAGTGTAATGAAGCACGATGCCATTATGGAAGCCTCCAGTCCGGATTACGTGCTGGTGGAAGCAGAAGCCAATCGTGTTGCTCAGGATGCACTCAGAGTGCTGAAGATCTCTCGGCAGCGATACCAGGGAGCCACTTCTGCTGGTTTTCCAGCAAGAACAAAGTAATGTCTATGGCGCCACTTTCAGATTCATTGACTTTTACTCGTTTGTATATTTGAAGTACATGGGATGTGGGTGGCGCTGTGGGTTAAACCACAGAGCCTAGGACTTGCCGATCAGAAGGTCAGCGGTTCGAATCCCCGCGACGGGGTGAGCTCCCGTTGCTCGGTCCCTGCTCCTGCCAACCTAGCAGTTCGAAAGCATGTCAAAGTTCAAGTAGATAAATAGGTACCGGTTTGGCGGGAAGGTAAACGGCGTTTCCGTGCGCTGCTCTGGTTCGCCAGAAGCGGCTGAGTCATGCTGGCCACATGACCCGGAAGCTGTACGCCAGCTCCCTAGGTCAATAAAACGAGATGAGCACCGCAACCCCAGAATTGGTCACGACTGGACCTAATGGTCAGGGGTCCCTTTACCTTTACCTTTATATTTGAAGTACAGTCGCATCTTGGAAGCCGAACACCTTGGGAGTCAAACATTTTGGCTCCCAAACGCCGCAAACCCTGAAGTGAGTGTTCCGGTTTGCGAACATTCTTTGGAAGCCAAATGTCTGGCGCAGCTTCCGATTGCATGCAGGAAGCTCCTGCAGTCAACTGGAAGCTGCGCCTTGGTTGTCGAATGTTTTCAGAAGTCGAACTGACTTCCGGAACGGATTCCGTTCGACAGCCAAGATACGACTGTATACTTCCGGTACCATTACACCAAGAGGAGAAAGGTAAATGGGCCATCAAATTTTAAACTCATTTTACTGCCTGGATTCTCTGCTTCAGCCCTCATAATCTCCCACAGAGCAGCATGGAGCTGGGCTTGTGCCTAAGAGGAACAGTTGCAAGGTGCTCTGAAGCTGTCCTGAGCTGAGCTGTTTTGCAGCCTATTTGATAATAATAATAATAGGGACGTGGGTGGCGCTGTGGGTTAAACCACAGAGCCTAGGATTTGCCGTTCAGAAGGTCGGCGGTTTGAATCCCTGCGACAGGGTGAGCTCCCGTTGCTCGGTCCCTGCTCCTGCCAACCTAGCAGTTCGAAAACACGTCAAAGTGCAAGCAGATAAATAGGTACTGCTCTGGCGGGAAGGTAAACTGTGTTTCCGTGCACTGCTCTGGTTCGCCAGAAGCGACTTAGTCATGCTGGCCACATGACCCGGAAGCTGTACTCCGGCTCCCTTGCCCAATAAAGCGAGATGAGCGCCGCAACCCCAGAGTCGGCCACGACTGGACCTAATGGTCAGGGGTCCCTTTACCTTTACCTAATAATAATACCCCACCCATCTGTCTAGGTTGCCCCAGCCACTCCTGGCAGCTTATAGCATATATTAAAACATAAAATCAAACATTAAAAACTTCCCGAAACAGGGCTACCTTCAGATGTCTTCTAAAAGTTGTATAGTTCTTTATCTCCTTTTCATCTGGAGGGAGGGCGTATCACAGGGAGGCTGCCACTGCCGAGAAGGCCCTCTGCCTGGTTCCTTGTAACTTCACTTCTTGCAATGAGGGGAACAGCAGAAGACCCTCGGGAGGAGGACCTGAGTGTCCAGGTTTAGCGATGGGGGTGGAGACGCTCCTTCAGGTATACTGAGCGCTTTGTCTGGCTGAAATGTGTCCTTGAACTAGGATAATGCCTCTTGATTGTCGGGGTGTGTGTGGAAAGATGGCTATAGGTTTGTGGAAACCTCTGGCCTTCACATGGCTGGAATGTAACCTACTGTACAAAGTAAAAGTCACATCTTCCAGCTGTATTCACTTTTGCCTCTGGCTTCACCCACCATGAGCATGCGGTCCCCAGAAAGTTATTCGCAGGTGGAAAAAGGTCTCTGCATTCCCTTGCAGTTATCTATCTTATCACAGGTATACATTTGCAAAGAAATTGTGTGCAATTCTTTGGTATGTTTCAGAAGCAGATTTGGTCAGAAGAGGAACCCAACCTTGGTGACAGAGTCTATCTCCTCCCCATCTCCAGGAAAGAAATGCAAGGTATTTCATAAGCACTTCATATGACAAGCCTACAACATCATTCCACAGCTTGAAAGCTCCCAGCAGAGATCATCATTTGCATGTTGACTGGTCAATCTAGCTGAGTTAAACTTAAAAACAGGAGCATTATTCCTTCCTTGCAGTTGTGCAGCTGGGGCTGAGATTGAGACAAGTAAAAATGCAGTTTTATGGCAAACTAAGTGCAAAAGAAGCCATGCCTGTGTTATATAATCCATTGAAGCTATCAAAATGTAGACAAATATCACCCTTTGCAAAGTGATTGCCACTTTAATGTGATGTCGTTTGATATATTTGTCAGTGTTCAGTGCTAACACTTGCGCTAACAAAACACATCTGTTACTGTTCAGTTTAAAAAAACCATAGCTTTCCAGTGAAGCACAGAATATGTAATTTGATATTCCAGAGAGATGATAAAATATGCTACAAATAATTATTATAAATTACATTCATTATACAGCAATGTAATGATGTGTACATGTACACGCGCGTACACACACACACAATTTCTGTGTATATATGGAAATAATAAGGAAATTAGAATTGTGTGTTTTCAAATCACAATTGGCTGGATCCAGATTAGCCATTGTGCAGACAGAAGGCACCATAAGTGTTCAAACTTGTACAAATGAAAAGCTACCCAAAACCTTCTCACAAAAGCATCTTGTGTGTCTGTAATTTCAACCGGTTCCCATTGCATTGGCAAATTATCATCACCTCCTTTGCCGTTTTGAAAATGCTTTCCTAAATATATATTTTGTCTAGATTTTTGATAGGTCCAATATGACTTGAATTGATAGTGTAAAACAGGACTGGTGTGACACTGGCCTTTCCGCTACTTGATCACTAAGCTATAAAGCCACAGAGATTTTGTGACCAAGGAAAGATGAACCTGTAAACTTCTGGGCTCACACTTCCTTGGCAGTTCGCCATCTACAGAAGATTTTTGTTGTTCTTCTTGCTATAAACTGCTGTTTTTCACAAGGGGACGAGGTTCTGTGTCTATGAGAGCTTCCTTCAGTATTTTCCCATTTCTGTTTGCAGGATCTAGAGAAAAGGAGAGAAGAGAATAAAAGCAGAAATATTTCTCCCGCTCACTTTGATGGAAGGGTGGAAGCAGGAGAGTCTTCTTCAAACGCTATGGACTCATCATCTCTACTAGCTAAAATGAGGGAAAGAAACCATCTGACTGTACCCCAGACAGCTGACAGTCAAACGGAGGAGAATCTTCCCCAGGTAGCAGCTGCACCCTCTGTAGCTACAGAACATCAGGAGTTACTGATGGACGTCCGGAACTTCTTGGCTTTCCAGGCCCGGGTGCCTGGTCAAGCCAGCACTCAGGAAATACTGCAGGAGTTTGAATCAAAACTGACAGTGGAACAGTCCTCGGTCTTTCGAGAGCTCCTGAGAAACCTCTGCACTTTTTATAGGAGGCCAAGCGGGGAAGGACTCTGGAACTTAAAACCAGAGTTTACCTGACATATTATTGCTGGGTGTATGCTGTCCATCCGACACTTTTTGCAGTCAGCTTTTAAAGTGATGCTGTGCTCATCCTATGTAGTGAGCTGGTTGGTGCCTGGTGCTCTGCTTTCAATACCTTTATATACTGTTTCACACACGAAATGCCGTCTACCTCGAAAGGCATCACTAGCAGCCCAGTGGTTTTTTTGCAAAAGAACACGACTGGGACTCAAAATACTTGATTTATAACTGGATTTCCATTCCGCTTTCTGATAACCTACGCCATAAAAATCAGAAAGCACAAGCTGTTGGTTCGAATGTGTATTGCACGTGATGACATCTTAGGTGGGTACCAGGTGCGTAATCACAGTGATGAACAATGTTAAGAATAATTGCATTTGATCCTGAGATATATATGCACTGTATACTCTTCGGAAGTGATCTGTATATGATAACTTCTTCTACTGCCAGATTTTAACTGGTCTAGATCTGGGACTCAGCATCCTATTTGGGTGTTAGCAATGATGGAGGGGCAGGTCTCCCTCTATATCAGAAGTTCTCACACACTCGGTTAGGGGTTTCTTGGTGTTATTCAGTGTGGTGTAGTGGTTAAGAGCGGTAGTCTCGTAATCTGGGGAACCGGGTTCGCGTCTCCGCTCCTCCACATGCAGCTGCTGGGTGACCTTGGGCCAGTCACACTTCTCTGAAGTCTCTCAGCTCCACTCACCTCACAGAGTGTTTGTTGTGGGGGAGGAAGGGAAAGGAGAATGTTAGCCGCTTTGAGAGTCCTTAAAGGGAGTGAAAGGCGGGATATCAAATCCAAACTCTTCTTCTTATTATTATTCATTCGACTGCCTATCTTGCTGCAGTGACTGGAAGCCATAGGCTTGGCTAGAGAAAAGTCATGATTCTCTCTTTGGTTACTAAATGAATATGATTGAGACAAGCTTGTACAGGGTGCCTCATCCAACACCACCTTTTTCTTTTTTGGGGTATGTTTCTATTGGGAACTTGGGCATTTGTTACTCCAAGAGTTATGGGCAGTTGATAATAAGTGCAACCTGAAGCACAGTACGCCAGAAAAAGGTTTTTTAAAAGTTTAGTGATTTATTGTTTGCCCTGCAATAAGGCAACCTTAGTAACTGACGGTCTTCATCAATTCCTTTGAGTAAAGAATGGGCATGATTCCTGGTGTTGGTGGCAATGCGTGTGGTCGGTCTGATGTTATTACTCTCTCAGTTGCGGAATTCTGGCAATAAGAGAAATAAACCACGGAAGATCCTGAGACAAGAACATGGACAATTCATTTTGTTGGGATTTTTGTGCTTAGCGGTACTCCGTTGATTGAGATATGTCAACACTGGCTTTTGTATGCAGAAAAACAAAATATCAAAAATATTTTGTGTGCCAAAAATATCAAGATCTACCATATACTCCACTAACACTGAAGCAGTTGGTAACAATAACCACTTCTACAATCATGTAGCTCTTTAGTTACAACTTGTGATAAAATAAGTTGCACCTACAACAAATAAATCTACTTTATAAGTCACTGTCCTGTTCATCATTCAGCTAAAAGATCACCTTGAATTTGATGGTTATCTATCCATTTTGGTGAAATATACATCTGATAGTGTCTGTCTCTGAGCTTTATGCAAGGTTCAGTTAAAGACTCAATGAGCTTATCTCCTGCTCCCACCCTACTTTTCCTTCACAGCAATGTAATTTTTTAAAAAAATCATACACTGCCCTTCAGTATTTCCATTTTAAGGACAGTTATCCATATGCATGGATAAAATCAACAGCAACAGTAACGTTACACAGTCACCAACTATATTACCCAAATTTCACCAATGACTTCATAGGTGGAAGACGAGAGCATTCTTCAAATACCTGAAGGCTGTCGCACAGAAGAGGGCAAAGATTTGTTCTCAACTGCACCCAAGGAGAGAACTAGATCGAATGGTTTAAGTTATAGGAGGGCAGGTATCAGTTGAATCTTCAGATAAATATTGATGATTAAGAGCAGTTCAACAATGGAAACAATTGCCTAGCCCTTGAGGGTGATGTGTTCTCCATTGCAGGAAGTCTTGAAGTAGAACCATCAGTTGAGAGCGCTTTATTTCTGGATTTTCTACTTCAAGCACTTGGGGGTCAGGTTAGATTAGAACGGAATCTAAAGGGCTGAATCACCCTAAACCAGGTGCCCTCCTCACCAGTCACCTTCTTCTCCCTGCCAAATTAAAAGGTGCTCTACAGCCTTTTGGATTTCAAGTATAAGACATCTAGTTCCATTATGATTTAAGAGGAATCCATGTGTTTCACTTTGTTCCAAAATGTTCCCCCGTAGTTATCATACCAAAGCCCTTCCTCCAAACACCATGATTGCAGATTTTCTTGTTAAAGCAGCCCTACACATGGGGGAAAAAGGATTTCCAAAAACACTTGGATACCTTTCATTTCAGCAACCTACATGGCAACCCGAACTGGGCTTCCAATACTCCTTCACTTCATTTGCCCACTGTTATATAGAGAGGCCACTGATTCTAGCACTCTTGGATCTACCTAGACCTCTTGTGATGTCAGCAGTCTTCTCACCAGGCAAGTAGCTCATCATTCAGTGAGCACACTTAAACCTTATTTTTTATTTCTTTCTTTCTTTCTTTCTTTATTGAATAGATTTATATAATAATAATAATAATAGGCTGGGCTCAGGGCGGCTAACAAGCAAGAATAAAAACAAGTTGAATTAATACAACTTAAAAACAAGATTAAAATACAAAATTAAAATACTGAAACATTAAAATATTAAAATGACAGCCTCAACACAGGAGGAGAAAGAAAGAGGGGGAGGGAATCAAATTGGCTCCAAGCCAAAGGCCAGGCAGAACAACTCTGTCTTACAGGCCCTGCAGAAAGAAATCAGATCCTGTAGGGCCCTGGTCTCATGAGGCAGAGCGTTCCACCAGGCCGGAGCCAGAGTTGAAAAGGCCCTGGCTCTGGTTGAAGCTAATCTAACTTCCTTAGGGCCCGGGACCACTAGGGTGTTGCTATTTATGGACCTTAAGGTCCTCCGTGGGGCATACCGGGAGAGGCGGTCCCATAGGTACCAGGGTCCTAGGCCGTGAAGGGCTTTAAAGGTCAAAACCAGCACCTTAAATCTGACCCTGTACTCTACGCATATCATGCCTTTTTTAAAAAAAAAAAAACAACCTGTGTTATAAGAAGGCTTACAATAATATAGAAATTTATAGCAATAATAAGACCAGAAAACAATGACAATAAAATTAATGCATAGTATAAATGCATCTCTCTTTCCCTAACTATTAAGTCTCCAATGCAGACCCTTAGTAGTGTGCAATGCTTTTTTCTCGGGGGGGGGGGGTGCAGGGATATGCATACCCCTAAACATCTAACCGGAGAAGAAACTTAATTTTTTTAGTTTCTTCTCTAGCACAGGTTCCATTGAATAGCATGGTGAATCTTCAGTTCCGTTGCTACTCCCGATGGCAGCCTCGTTTCCTTTCACTGCAACATTACCAAAGCTGTCCTCATAATACCGTGAATTCTCTTTGATGCTGTCGACATCACGGACTAGCCGAACGCAGGGGACAAAGGCTCAGAGCTGTGGGACGAGTGACCCGCTGGCTGAATTTCAGAGTAAGGCTCCCTTTCCCAAATCTGAATTAAGCATCCACTTCTCCATCGCTAAGCTTTTTGAGTTGGGGAAAGAATGACGTGTTTCCAGTAACAATTGATTGCAGCCTTGAGTGCGAGGAAAATACAATATCCTGCTCCTTGCAACAGAAGTTCCACCTTCGTGGATGACAGCTGGATCCCAGATTAGTCATGATTGTGTATTCATTGTGCAATAAACTGATTATCTAGCAAGGTTATAAGGAAACCACCTGGTTCCATGTGGGTTGTCAGCCAGCACTCCCAGTGTTCATACCTCTTCCTGTAATCATTTGCTCGTTCTACAATTTTCAATGCATTTCTTCATCACTTTCCTAACAGCAAAAAGTCCAGGTTTTTTTTTTTTTTAATAAGTAGATTTGTTCTGCTAAGGCAGCAAAGCCCTTTAACTGCAACCTAAGTTTCCTCATATGCATTTAATCCTTCCTGCAAAACACTGATAGACCCTGGGGCACTCTACCTCCATCACTGATCATAAGCTAGTTAGAACAAGTTTATTCCTATAAATATGTAAACGCTTGTCTTGTGGCCAATAAGCTGGAAGTCCCAGATCCAAACTGAGATGGACATTACTTCTAAAGCAGTAGCCAGATTTCCTAGAAATAAACACTTTATAGTATTTCTCTGAAGCCAAATTGTTGTTGTTTAGTCGTTTAGTCGTCTCCGACTCTTCGTGACCCCATGGACCAGAGCATACCAGGCACTCCCGTCTTCCACTGCCTCCCGCAGTTTGGTCAATACATGGTGCTATTGAGCTTTTTCCTAAGCTGTTGAAAATGTCCCTCTCCCTGCAACCTGCCCCCACTAGGTTGTTCAACAGCTGAGAGGGTGAAAAGGGGGCTGCATAAAAGGTTTCTCTTTATTTGGAAGCCCAAATAAACTTGCTGCTTGGCTGATCAGTGGGAGAGGATGTAAGATTAGGCAGTGGGCCAGAAGAGGTAGCCTGGGGAGTACAAATTGCACATTTCTGAACAAGAAATTGAAAAAAAAAAAAAACATGTTTCCTGGAGACAGTGCATAATGACTGTATAATGTACATATTGCTTGGAGAATATGCAAAATGCACTCGATTTAAACACATTCCCCAAACCCTCTTGGAGGTTATGCTTATTTCCCAAAGAGAATGTACAAAATCGAGTTGGTGTATGGACATGTCCCAAGATCTGTTGGAGATTATGTATATTTACTGGGAAATGATTCCCTCTTCATGGAAGGATTATGTGCACAATGGCTAGTTGTTATGCACATTAGCTGCTTAAGCTAAAATTCCCCTTAACATATACCAGGGGTCGGCAACCTAAGGCCCATGGGCCACAAGTGGCCTATGGACCCCCGCCACCCGCTCAGCGACCCCCGCTGGCCACCGGGTTGGCTCCCATGCGCCATGCTACACCGGCATGGAACAGCGGGGACCGCCTTCCACGACACTGGCTGGCTTCCCATTGGCTGCAGGAAGCTCCTGCAGCCAATTCAAAGCTGCGCATGCCTCCTCCGCGCTGGAAGGAGTGCTGGAAATAGCGTTTGTGCATGCATGCGCACTCCAGCCCACTGTGGCATCTGCAGGACCGTGAACCAGCCCAAGCCACAAAAACTTTGCCAACCCCCAACTGCAAACTGCATCGGCATATCCTGCAACTGAGATCTCAGGAGCCACAAAGTGGTTACTCATCTAGAAGTGCCGTCAATTTGATCTCTTGTGGGAAATGTACAAGAAAACTTGTAAAAAAATTTGAGGCAAGTTCAATACTTTGAATAAAAGCTTGGACCTTCTATCTGCTGTGCGTAATCTCACTGCTTCTGAAGGAAAATATGGGACAGCTGCATATTCCTGCACTGCAGATGGGTGGACTAAAACCTGATGATTCTCAGGGTCCCTTCCGACTAATAAGACTAAACTGGAGTGCTACTCAGAGCTTTTGAGGAAGTTCGAAAGATCGTTGGTACTGGTAAATCTCAGACATAACCATGCGAAGGATCAAAAGCAAACGGGGAAATGTAAGCTGTACATTATTACTTGTAAAGGGACCCCTGACCATTAGGTCCAGTCGTGGCTGACTCTGGGGTTGCGGCGCTCATCTCGCTTTATTGGCTGAGGGAGCCAGCGTACAGCTTCTGGGTCATGTGGCCAGCATGACTAAGCCGCTTCTGGCGAACCAGAGCAGCACACGGAAACGCCGTTTACCTTCCCGCCGGAGCAGTACCTATTTATCTACTTGCACTTTGACGTGCTTTCGAACTGCTAGGTTGGCAGGAGCAGGGACCGAGCAACGGGAGCTCACCCCATGGTGGAGATTCGAACTGCCGACCTTCTGACCAGCAAGTCCTAGGCTCTGTGGTTTAACCCACGGCACCACCCGCAACACAATTGTGCTCTGTAGTGAATACAGAATATTCAAAGCAATGTGGGACCATGATAAGCTCACCTTCAGTAATGAGATGAGGAACGCACTAGGTGACCCAGAGCTACTCTTGCCATTAGGCCAAATGAAGCTACTGTCTTGGGTGGCAAATTTGGCACAGGGACAACGGGAGCCCCCAGCCGTTCGCCTGATTCTCCCAGCTGTTCTCTTACATTGCCACATGGCCTGTCCCGCGTCTCCTAATTTGGCTCAGGTGTTCTAGAGGACATTATCCCATCACCGCTTGAAGTAAAATTCAGTTGGCTTCTGTGCTTGAAATCACCTCGGGCAGCAAAATGTCTTGGGCCATCCCTGGACAGATCAGACTTTGCCCAGTTGCTCCGTCCGCAGGAATCGCTTCTGTGGCATCTCCCTGCAGAATCGGCTGGATGCATTCCAAGTTCTCCGACAGATGGCCGAGGAATTGCCAGGCAGAAAAGGGAGGATCTAACACTAATGGTTGAAGCATCCCAAGGGTCTGCAGTCTGAGACACTGAACCGCTACGGCAATGGTACTGTGTTTCCACGAAAATTAGAGCACGTATCAGATCTTCTCCAGGACATAATTTCATGGGTGGCATCAACATGCGAAGTTCAGAAAGTGTAAAGGTAAAGGTAAAGGGACCCCTGACCATAAGGTCCAGTCGTGGCCGACTCTGGGGTTGCGGCGCTCATCTCGCTTTATTGGCCGAGGGAGCCGGCGTTCAGCTTCCGGGTCATGTGGCCAGCAGGACTAAGCCGCTTCTGGCGAACCAGAGCAGCGCACGGAAACGCTGTTTACCTTCCCGCCAGAGTGGTACCTATTTATCTACTTGCACTTTGACGTGCTTTCGAACTGCTAGGTGGGCAGGAGCAGGGACTGAGCAACGGGAGCTCACCCCGTCGCAGGGATTCGAACCGTGACCTTCTGATGGGAGGGTGTTCTACAGGGCAGGCACCACTACTGAGAAGGCCCTCTGCCTGGTTCCCTGTAACTTGGCTTCTTGCAGTCAGGGAACCACCAGAAGGCCCTCGGAGCTGGACCTCAGTGTCCGAGTAGAACGATGGGGGTGGAGACGCTCCTTCAGGTATACTGGACCGAGGCCATGGATGGGATATAAAGGTAAACGTGGACCAATTATGTCATGAATCCACACTAAAAGTTGTGACAGCAGGGCTCCCTCCTGAACCAAGACAAGACGCTTTATTGATAAGTATTAACAAAACTGCAGTGTTTAAATGCCCATTGTTTCTTTGCAAAGAAGGAGGATAGGGGGAGAAACAACAGGTAGAGACTACTCTTTTCTCCCAGTGAAGAAGCAGCTATAACAGCAGGCATCCCTGATATTTTTCAGTTTAGTTGCATGCTAGTTTGAAGAAGAAGAAGAGTTTGGATTTGATATCCCGCTTTATCACTACCCGAAGGAGTCTCAAAGCGGCTAACATTCTCCTTTCCCTTCCTCCCCCACAACACTCTGTGAGGTGAGTGGGGCTGAGAGACTTCAGAGAAGTGGGACTAGCCCAAGGTCACCCTGCAGCTGCATGTGGAGGAGCGGGGAAGCGAACCCGGTTCACCAGATTACGAGTCTACCGCTCTTAACCACTACACCACACTGGCTTTGTAGAACAGCAAAGTGTCCACCAATATCTTTGCAAGGAAGGAGAATACAGAGAAACCCAGAACTTTGCATGCCCCTGTGACCTCTCTTTGGCCACACCCCTGTGACTTCTTAAGAGGTCCACTAGATCTAGTGGGCACCAGCCTGTGGCACTCCATGTCGCATGTTGCTTTGACATGCCATGGAAGCGTTGCTGAAGAAAGCTCCCATTGCCCACTAATTCAGTTTAGTGGTTTTCAGTTCTGATCCACTTCAGCGGAAGCCCTGGCTGGAATAATGTCTCATCCCGTTCCCAATCTCCCTGCAAAAAATCACATCATCTAGAAAAGCAGATCACTCTTCTTGTGCCACGGTATCGTTCCTTCTCAGTTGCGAAAACCGAAGATCATGTTCAGAATAATGCTCAAAAATAGAACAAATGCATGCAGAAGACATTCACACAGTTTGTGTTGATTTGCACAGTGTCTTTTGAATGCTGAATTTCAGTTTCCTTCTGCCAGAAT